GTGGAGATATATAGCTGGGTGTCGTCAGCGTACTGGTGGTACTTCACCCCGAAGCCACGGATGATCTCACCTCAGGGGCGAGAGAACCGACCCCTGAGGCACCCCGCATATGAGGCGTCTCGAGGTCGACCTCTGCCCCCCTGCCAACACAAACTGCGACCGGTCCGAGAGAAAGGAGGAGAACCACCATAACACGGTGCCCCCATCCCCAACTCTTCCAACCGGCGCAGCATGATATAATGGTCGATGGTATCAAAATCCGCTGAGAGGTCTAACAGGACCAGAACAGAAGAGCAACCCCTGTCCTGAGCCCTCCAGAGATCATTTACCAATGCGACCAATGCCGTTTCCATGCTGTACCCGGGCCTGAAGCCCGACTGGAATGGATGTAGATAAGACGTTTCCTCCAGGTATTGTGGAAACTGTCGTGCGACCACACTCTCAACAACCTTCGCCACAAAGCGAAGGTTGGAGACGGGACGGTAGTTGGCTAATACTGCCGGGTCTAGGGAAGGCTTCTTGAGGAGAGGCCTCACCACCGCCTCTTTCAAGGCCGTGGGGAGGTAACCCTCACTCAATGAAGCGTTGATAATTCTCTGGAGCCAGTCTCGTGTAACTTCCCGGGAAGCCAGTACTAACCAGGAGGGACACGGGTCCAGCAAACATGTGGCCACACTAAGTCTCCCCAAAGTCCTGTCCACGTCATCAGGGGTCACAGAGTCAAACTCTTCCCAGATAACAGTCTCAAAACTATTCCTCGCCACCTTGCCTGAATCTACACAGTCAGAGTCCAAATCCCCCCGGATCTGTGCGATTTTGTCATACAGATATTGTCCAAATTCCTCGGTCCTGCCTTCCAGGGGGTCCTCCCGCACTCCCGGATGTAACAAGGAGCGGGTCACCCTGAACAGGGCGGCTGGATGATTATCTGATGATGCAATAAGGGCGGAAAAATAATTAAAGTTTGCCACCTTTATCGCCACTAGATAGGTCTTAATATGCGACCTTACCAGTATTCGGTCAGATTCAACGAGACTGGCCCTCCAACCACTCTCTAGGTGTCTTTTCTGGTGCTTCATCTCCCTTAGCTCCTCGGTAAACCATGGAGCCCCACGGGATCAGCACCAGGTCAGAGGCCGCAAAGGCACGACTCGATCTAAAGCCCCCCCAGCCACCCGATCCCAGGCAGCTAACAGGTCATTGACCGAGTCATGTGCCAGGTGCTCAGGAAATGGCCCAAGCTCCGTCTGGAACCTATCCGGATCCATCAGGCACCTGGGGCGGACCCACCTTATTGGTTCCGCCTCCCTGCGGCGGGGTGTAGCGGTTCGAAGGTCCAGGCGAAGGACGAGTGATCTGTCCATGATAAGGGTTCCATCTCTATATCCCCTATAAGAAGACCATCCAACCACTGGCCAGAGACAAAAATCAAGTCCAGAATGTGTCCCCCCGTGAGTGGGGCCATGAACTAACTGGGTCAGGTCCATGGTCGTCATGGAAGCCATGAACTCCCGGGCCATCTCGGACGTTTCACCAACGGGCAAGTTGAAATCACCCATGATCATAAGCCCAGGTGTATCAACTGCCACCGTGGCTATCATGTCGAGTAGCTCGGGTAGGGCCGTTGCCACACGGCAGGGAGCCAGGTATGTTAGCAACAAGCCCATCTGAACCCCCTGACCCCACCTCACAAAGAGGGACTCACATCCGACAATCTGTGACACAGTGGTCTCCCTCAGACCAAGACCTTCTTTAATAATAACCGCCACCCCCCCCGCCCCTACCCTGGGCCCTCGGCTGATGGAATGCTCTGAAGTCTGGTGGGCACATCTCAACCAGATGGACCCCTCTCTCCAGGCCCAACCAGATCTCCGTAATACCCGCCAGGTCCGCTCCCCACTCCTGTATGAGATCATAGATTATTATTTACCATGGACCTGGCGTTGCACAGCATCAGCCGAAGGCCCAGGTCCTGAGTATCTGTGCAACCTAGTACCCGAGAGGAGCATTGGGGACCGGGGTGCGCAGTTGCTCTCAAACAGCGAGTGCGCACCCCCAGCTCATGATATGGCCCCCTGCTCCTGCCATATCTGCCCCTCCCATCCACCGTGCTGATAGTACAACACTCATTAGGATGGCCCTCCACCACCTCCCCAGCTCCTCGTCCTGCACCCTCCAAACCATTACCTTGTGCTGGGCTTGGTTTTGACCTTGGTGGATTACCCCCCCCCCATCCCCCTTGGTCGCCCTCCCGGTTCCCCTTAAAAAATCATTAAAAACCCTAATTAAAAAACCCCTCAATCCCCGCTTTAGAACATGCCACCTCTCGGGACTCCTTGAGGTAGGCCCGTCCTTGAGGTAGGCCTTCGATAGAGTGGAAGGCCACCGCCGCGAGAGGGGAGCATCTTGCAGCGCAAGTAGATCCGCCGATTTGTAAGTCATATAAGTGTGACGAGGTAGGACAGAGTAACTCTGGGTGTCAGCGATGGTCCTAGGGGTGGGAGATAGCAATACAGTTGGATATGAGCAAAGCTGGGGCCCCTCCCTCTCTCACAGCGATGGGGCGTCCAGATCAAATAGCTGCAGTGCAGGCAGATGGCCACAGCAGCTGGATGACATAAAGCCAACAGAGTTCAACTCCTTTCCTGAAGATGGAGCAGCAGCCATTGTCCAGGACTCTCAGCTTCTCCCTCCAAACCTGCAATCTCCCTTCCCCCGAGCCAAGGCGGAAATCGGGAGGCAGGGATAGAACGACCAGTAGCAAAGAGGAGATAAGGATCAAACGGCAATTAGTCCAAGGAGGGTGATAGTAAAGTCCCAGAGTCAGAGGTAATGACAAAAATGACCCGACCACAAATAGAGAGTCCGGGCAGCAACAGGGGAAGGCCATTTCATAAGATGGAGAGTGAATCCAAGGAGGAGACCAGATGGCTATTCATCAATCCCCCTCTATTACTTCAACCACCTTTCGATTTTCCGGACCAATTCCCCCCCGAAATCATTTTCAGGCAGACTCTGCCATGCTCTTCCCAGGTTCAGGGCCATTTAGGGGGATTTTCAAGCCTCAGCTAACAGATGGGCCATACACCCCCAATCCTCAAGTCTGGGCTAAATGACCATTTGATGCGGCCTAAGAACCTCCGGGCGCCGATTTCAACGCCATCAGCTTCCCACACCCACCTCCAGCAGCCGATCACTTTTCCGGCCGCCATAGCATCATAGGGGGCTTGGGTCACTGAAGACGTTTCCCTTGGCTCCCTCGGCTCTCCATCTGGCTTTCTCGACCCCCTTAGCTCCTTCACCTCCTTTGGTCGGGCCGCAGAATAGATCTCCAGGGCGTTGCGGCTGCAGAGTCATCCTGGAGGTCGCAGCCGCCCTCCTCAAAGCGCTCCGATCGCAACTCCTCATCACGGCTCTGCCCTCCACAAGCCGATCCCAACCAGGGATGGCTCATCCGAACCGCCAGACCTTCGGCATGCCGAATGTGGGGCCCAAGATCGCTAAATTGGCCTCCAACGTTCCCAAAGTCCTCAGTTCCCTCATCGGCCTCACCAGCGAGCCCCTTGGAGGTCCGCCATCTTGCGCATGCACAGAGAATTCTTATATAGATCTTATATAAATCTTATATAGATCTATATCTATATACTTGGTCTAATACATTCTATCTTCCATTCAATAGGAAATGTCAATTAAAAATCTCAGATGTTAGAACTATGTTGAATTAAGATTCTCAATGGCTGAGTATGGACTTCAGTGTCCTAAAGAATACCTTACTAATTGTCAAATATTCTTCAAAATCAAGATCTTTTTGAAAAGCTATCTTTTAATTGCATCATAATTGCACCATAATGAAACGATATCAAGAGGCAATTTTTACTTGCCATCATATTTTACTTGCCATCATATTTTAAAACAATGTTTTGTTATGTATTTTGTGATTTAATCTTTGGTTAATTCAATTTTGTTTTTAGTAATATGGTAGTTTTTGTTTTGAGATTCCAAATAATACAACTTTTTGAACTGATAGATGTCACATTTATAATGCAGACATTGTAATTTAGATTGCTTCTTTCAGTAGTTTTAATCTTTGTTTCCACCACTTCATTTAACTAATTTCACTAATTTTAATAATTACTAATTTTGGTTTGTGGATTTAAATTGCAAAGAATGCAAAGAATGCAGAAGCAGAAGATGTAATTCTCCAGCTAACCAAAAGTTAGGCACATGATCCAGTTGCATTACCTTAAGTCAGGGGTGAAATCTAAAATTTGTTACTACCGGTTCTGTGGGCATGGCTTGGTGGGGTGTGTGTGTGTGTGTAATGGGTGGGCATGGCCAACTTTTTTTTTTAACTTTTAAAAGCATTTTTTCTACAACCTCTTCAGCCGAAGAGGTTTTTAAAAGCTTCTGACGATCCCCGCTGAGCTGTGCGATCATCAGAGGGTTTTTTTTTTTTCTTTTAACAGCATTTTTTCTGCTGAAGAAGTTGTAGAAAAAATGCTTTTAAAAGTAAAAAAACAGCCTCTGATGATTGCGTGGCTCAGCTGTGCATGGGGGGGGCAGGGATTTTTGCTACCAGTTCTCCGAACCACCTGCCGCCATCGCTACCGAATCAGGTGATCCGGTCCGAACCGGGAACATTTCACCCCTGCTTTAAGCAATGAAATATATAATTGTAATTTTTTTCTCCACTATACCTCAATTATTCAATTATAAATAAATTAATAATATGCCTTGAGATAATATACAGAATAAACTATAAATTATTGTTGTAATAAACAATAATCCTGCTCAATTGTAACTTTACATAAGTGACCACTCACTTGACTAATTTTTTTTACTGATTAAATGTCACATTCTACTTTTAGTTCCTCAGAACTGAAGCCTGGACATTGAAACCAGGTTTCAAAACAAAACTCTTGGTAGATCTTGCTTAAGTCATTTTGCAGTACATTTATACATATACATTTAGTTATTTGTTTGTGTGTGTGTTTTAACAGAATATTCTCCTTTCTGGATGTGGTCACTCTATGCCGCTGTGCGCAGGTCTCCAGGGTAAGAATATTTGAATACTAGTACTGGTAAGGCTTTCTCTATTGGGTATCTCCAGGTTATTTCTTGAAACCCAGAAATCAGATCAAATCAAATCTTTAATATGATTATAGATCAGCATATGAAACCCAGGAATGTGTCAGCCTTAAGTAATATTCAATGTGAGCCCATTTTCTCCGACCCTCTCCACAGTTTTTGTATCAAAAATGTCCATTCATTTTGTTACTCTAACATCCAAAGTCTTATGTTGCTAGAAAATGGTGGGACTGCAGCTAATGCATTATCTTCATATTCGCAGGTCTTTGATAGCAACAGTTTTTGAGGGCATGGGTGGGAGAGGGCTAACAAAATGAATCTTATATAGGCGGTCCTCAACTTAAAACCAAAATTGGGGCCAGAATTTTCATTGCTAAGTCATGTAGTCATTAAGTGAGTCAAGCCCAGTTTTATAACATGTTTTCTGATGGTTCTTAAGTGAATTACCATGACTATTAAGCGAATCCAGCTTCTCCATTGGCTTTGCTTGACCAAGTAACCCCAGGATGCTGCAATCATTGTAAATACAGGCCAGTTGCCAAGCACCCAGATTCTGATCATGTGATGGTGTGGATGCTAAATCAAAAGTATGAGGACTAACTTTTTTTAGCACATCATAATTTTGATCATTAAACGAACGATTGTAAGTCAACTATTCATAGAGAATACAGTGAAATCTCTGTGAGCTATACTTTGCTCAATAATTAAATGCTTGTCTGGGAGAAAATGTCATAAGATGCTCAGACTCATATTTTGCTAAACATATCAGGAATAGAATTTTAAAACTGAAGATCATTACTGAGAACATTTTCCTATATTCCGGTATGGTTCATTTGTTTCATATAGAGGAAATCTTTTTTAATGGTGAACAGATTAGACCATGATCAGAATAGCACAGTTATTATAATTCACATTGTGAATTGGATAATGTGATTTAATAATCCTGGTTTATTCCATAGCACATTCTTATTACATGTCTATTACAAGTTTTCCAAATTTGCTACCCTCCAGATGTATTAGACTTTTTTTTTTTAATTAGATTTATATGCCGCCCTTCTCCGGAGACTCAGGGCGGCTTACAATGCGTTAAGCAATAGCCTTCATACTTTTATATATTTATACAAAGTCAGCTTATTGCCCCCACAAACTGGGTCCTCAATTTATCTACCTTAGAAAGGATGGAAGGCTGAGTCAACCTTGAGCCTGGGGAGATTCGAACTTGCAATAATTGCAGACAGCTGAATGTTAATAACAGGCTTTTAGTCTGTTGAGCTATCCAGACTTCATTTCCCATAATTCCCAATGAGATTACAAAATGCTGAATGTGGATACAGTACTATGTTGAGACATTATCTGAACTTTTAGAGGCTTATTGCTCTGATTGCCCCATTTTTTTAAAAAAAAAACCCAAAAAAGAAGTCAAATTAGTCAAAAGGTTGGAATATTACAGTCTAGGGCTCTGCATATCCTTTAGAATTTGTAGTCTGCAGTACCTGGTGCATGCATGCAGAGGCCAGTTGGAGCAGCTTCAAAAACAGCTGCACAAGCTTGAGAAAAGGCCCAACTGCTTTAATACATTCCAACTCTTCTGAAGGATTTGCACAACCTTGTTGGAATCAATCTGCACTGGGAGACATAATTGTGAAAAATAAGTTGATTAGAAACATTATTGCAAACACAATAAAGGCATTTAAAGGATTTCCCAAAGTATCAAATATAGGAACAGTGTGATCAAACAACATAGACATCTTTTTAAAAAGGGGGGAAGCAGATATATAATCTGCTCACTGATTAAATTAAAGATTCTTTGCAGCTCCATATATTTCATAAGGAAGCCTTTCTGCTGCTTTAAACATCTGGGCTTTAAATGATATTAACATCTGAATTAAGGTAGTCCAGGCAACTGTTGTATATTGTATTATTATATTCATTACACAGAGCCTTCACTCCTAAAACATAATGAGGCATTATTATTATTTGGGAAATGGAAGCGTGCAGGAGTCACTTGTGAGTTGTTCATGCATATATGCGTTCTCTGTAATTTCTGAATGTAAGATTTAAAATGGGTAGCTGCAGAAATATTTAACTCAAATCTGCATTGTTTAAACTGATACATGTTTAGACTGTTTGTGCTTGAATGTATTGGTTCTCATGAAGAAGTAACTTGGTGATAGTATTACTAGAGGTCAGAAGCTTTGGACTGGCTCAAATGAATAGAGTGGCTATATCTGCCTTCAGTTTTTCTATATTTAGAGGTATATATCTGACAATCTTTTTTCAACTTTCTGCCAATTTCATTTCAGGCATGGAATGTCCTAGCTTTGGATGGTAGCAATTGGCAACGCATTGACCTGTTTGATTTCCAAAGGGATATTGAGGTATAATTAAGTGACATGCAAAAGATTGTCTCTAGATAAACTAACTACTGTACTATCTCAGATTAGTAACAAACCATGTCATCTTTCAGATCTTCAAAGACAAATTATAAATTTTTACTCCTCATTCCAAAGAGCGTTTAAAGCTATAGTATGTTTTTAATAGAAAATGACATTGATTTATACTGTGAATGCTTATCTCTGTATGAATTTATTCAGTATCATCTGTGCACAAAGATTTATGTCCCTAACCTGAAAATATTAAAAAAAAGAATCAATTATCTGAGGGATGTAATAATCCTCTCGATTTCAACATTGTGCCTTATAATTATATGAGTATATCTTTTAGGTATTACTAGCATTGAACAACATGAGGTTACGCATCAACTATAGAGGTTTAGAGAATTATTAAAAGTCACCATATTAAAAGATGTTGGGTTTAGATTTTTAGAAAAGTAATGAAAAGTAGTAAGGAGGCCACTTGAGTGTTTGTTTGTTTGTTTGTTTGTTTGAAACGGTCGTCAGGCATTTCTCTTTATGCTGTTCTTTATGTGATAGCCAGTGCTGTAAGGAAAAACCTCAATAGGGAAAAAAAAATACAGAGGTTGCATGGACTTGAAAAGTAGTTGTGATTCTTTGCCCTTTATAAATATGTCTCACCGTTTTTATCAGTGTAGCCAAATTAACTAATTTCTGCCTATTTAGCACGCAAGTGTATGCTACTGAACAAAATCCCTCTGTTGTTTCCATCACAAACTGTAACAACATAGCCAAAGACAGCTTTCTCTAAGAGAACTAGCCCTACACACACACACACACACACACACACACACACACACACACACACACACCTCTACACCTCTATATAATCATATGACTGTGGAATGTATAATTATGTGGCTAAGTTAGCTGCATGGTCTTTTGCAGACACAAACTGAGAAAGAATATAGCATAATAAACAACATATGAGTTGGAGACAGCATACTAAATTATACTTTGTATTTACTCTTGAAAATATTCAGCTGATCAGTTTGCCACAGAAAAGTATCTTAGTGCCAAAAATGTAGCACTACAATATAAGCTTCAGCTTCTGTGAATTGATTCTAAAGACTCCTATTTATGAACCAAATAAATGCAGGTATTCCACAAAACATCATTCCAAATATAATTTTAAGTATAGAATAAATGCCCAGAGGTGAAGGAGGATAACAAGATGTGATAAAAATATATCAGATAGGAAAAGATGGTTTAAAGAAAAAAAAAAGTTGTTTGCTGCATGTAAAATTAAGCAAGGGAATTAATTTAGAAGATTCTCTTCTTCGTCTTCTTCTTACAGGGGCGTGTAGTAGAGAATATTTCTAAAAGATGTGGAGGATTCCTTCGAAAGCTGAGTCTACGTGGATGCCTAGGTGTGGGAGACAACGCATTGAGGTAGAGAGGTTAACACAAATTATTTAACACCTATCTGAGAACTAGGCATGAGATGATAGGGCAGGTAGCTAATTTGAGGTACAAAAATTGAGGCGGCAGAATCCTGAAATATTTGATTTCTGCATTACCATAATTATCTGTAACATCAAACTAAAGTGTAACTTTGATGTTGTTTATAGAAGGGAAGCATTCTTTCTCGCTCCTATTTCCAGATCAGTCCTGCCCAATTTACTGAGGGGAAAGGCTTGGATTGATAAATTAAAACTCCTCATGGGTCCCAAAGAAATACTAAGAATGCCAATCAACTGTTCCATGATTAGTGGATTAGTGGAAAGGCTGGTACTAGCAGCAGCAGCAATACCAGTAAACCTTGGAGGTAGTTGGTAACATGTTTTTTGGGGGCACCCCTTTTAAAAAAATATTGGTAGGCTACACAAAGCTGTTTATAAGCCTGCTCTAGATGTTTCCTATCTCCGCACAACTCTTAAGCAGAAGATTTACTTCCACGCAGTACTATGCAGTAATGTAATGAAACTTGTAGAAGTCTGAGTAATGCACAACAAAACAGTTAGAAACAAATCTAAAGAAATATTGAGAACAATTAGATATAAATCTAAAACCAAAATTATGGGAGAATGAACTACATTCGGCACAAAAATACAGACTGGCTTCAGCTTTTATCTAGAAAAATGAATTTTGAGCATACTGAAATACTTGTTTTCATGGCCTGCCTATAGATATGCTTATGATTGAATGAGCATAGAATTCTCATCTTAGATTGAGAAACGTTAAATTCAGATTAAGTCATAGGCTGTCAGGTATAGCATTACAGGTAGTCCTTAACTTACAACCACAATTGAGCCCAACATTTATGTTACTAAGTGAGAAATTTGTTATGTGAGTTTTGCCCCATTTTACGACTTTTCTTGCCACATTTGTTAAACTTAACATTTGTTAAATTGCTAAATTAGTAACAAGGTTGTTAGGTGAATCTGATTTCCCCATTGATTTTGCTTGTCAGAAGGTCACAAAAGGGGATCACATGACTCCGGGACATTGTAGCTGTCATAAATGTGAGTCAGTTGTCAAGCATCCAAATGTAAATCATCTGATCATGAGGATGCTGTAATGGTCATAAGTCAAAAATGGTCATAAGTCACTTTTTTCAGTGCCGTTGTAACTTTGAACAGTCACTAAGGAACTGTTGTAAATTGAAGACTACCTGTACTGTTTCTGTCTGATGCGTCCTCAAGTCACTCCTGGTGAGATATACAATATCTATTCTAATGCTTAAGTAACTAAAATAAATACCTATCAGTCCAGTGATGCTTATTGCAGTAGAGCAGGGGTGGGAAATGATGGCCTGTGCTGGCCCAGGTATTCTGGGAGTTGAAGTTCACAAGTCATAAAGGGGCCATCATTCCCCACCTCTGCATTAGAGGTTGGCAAACATATTATTCAGAGGTTATATGATACCTAACCTCTGAATTCCTATATTTGTGACATATAAAAATAGGGGCTCAACATTGATAGAAATTTTTAATAGAATTGTGTTTCATGAGGGGTTTTTTTGCTTCTTAAAAACTGGGTTTTCTTCCTAAATATTGTCAAGATACTACTTAAAGTTTATGTTGCTAGCTTTACTTTTCAGTGAATACGAGATTTTTAAAAAGTCAAATCACTGTGATAAAATCTTTCATTAAAAGTCTGAAAAAATGTATATTTCTTTACATGAAGGACTTTTGCACAAAACTGCAGAAATATTGAAGTGTTGAATCTAAATGGCTGCACCAAGATTACAGATGCGTAAGTGATCTTTGTTTTGGAGTTCTGAAATATTGCATTAGCTCTTTAAAATGTCAATCTTATAGCACTTAACTGAGAGTAAACTTCATTGGAAATTAGTCTGGTCTTCTGAGGAGACATATATAAGATTGCACTATGATTCCTCTCCCCAATGGGTCTTCCCTGTCCCCTTCCCCCGGTCCTTTTTTTGTTTGTTTGTTAGTTTGCTTAAATATGGTATTTTCATGTAATTGCTATATTTCTTATTTCATGATTAAAAAAAGAATGTTGGAATGGGATTAGAATAGATTAGTGGTGGGACTCATCTTAATCTCTTTACCGGTAACCTCATTCATCCATCCATTCATTCATTCATTCTTTCTTTCTTTTCCAATCTCTCCTCATTTCTACTTCTCTACCAATTCTCAAGTCTCTCATCAAGCCTATCATGCCTGCCTTCCTCTTGATACAGTTCTCCACTTCCACAAACCACTCTCAACATCCAAAAACCTTCCAAAAAATTCCTTTTGCCAAACTCCTCCAGTGCGCCAACAACAAATTTGCATACACACTACTGCCATCTTTATATCTCAACTCAGTTTAGTGTCATTTACATTTAGTTGTAAATTTCCAGTGTTTTCAACCATTTCTATTTTTATTTCTTATCACAAGAAAATCATTGAAGAAGGTAAGATGGAATAGTGGCACAATATCTTAATTGCTAGAATTAGCTGTTGTCATCCATCTAAAAATGTCTCCAATGCTTTTTCCTACTTTTTAAAATAAAAACAAAATGAACCTGTGGGTATTCTATTTTCTTCCAGTACATGTACTAGCCTTAGTAAATTTTGCTCAAAGTTACGGCATCTTGATCTAGCTTCCTGCACATCAATAACCAACCTGTCATTGAAAGCACTGAGGTGAGTGTTCAGATTGTTCATAAAACTAACCACCTAAACTAGGTTAATAAAAGTAGACCCATAGTGATTGTCTCTTATTTAAATATGTCAGATGCCTTTGCAATGTATTTATTCTCTTCTCTGTCCAAAGTACTAATATAACTTGAAGGAATACATATGTGGTTCTTTTGTAGTTAATGTAGCTCATGAAACTCAGATAAGCGGGACGCTTATGTTACTTGTATGCCAGTAAATGGTTTTCTGATCCCAGAACAGTCCATAAGTTTTGGATTTTTGATAAATCTTTCAGCAGCCATTGTCAACAAGATTTACATTGGAAATGTTACAAGAAATATGCAAACAGAGAACTATGAGTCAAATCAAAGATGCTCTCTTATCTCAAATCCGTAATAAGGATGCAAAAACAGACCAATCCCTTTTTTTCAGCCCTATTTCTATAGCTCTTCTGTTTGTTCCAGCTATAGCTTTCAATTAGATTGTCTATTAAGGCTGCATCAGAGAAGAAAACTGTTAACAGTTTAGAACAATAAACATAAGCAAGGGTTAACCTACCTTGGTTCCTGAAGCAAGATGTTTATCTTTAGAGTTAAAATATATATACCTGCATTTTCTTTCTGTGTTCATCCCTTTTCCCCTTCAGTGAGGGGTGCCCTCTACTAGAGCAACTCAATATCTCGTGGTGTGACCAAGTGACAAAAGATGGCATCCAAAATTTGGTGAGAGGCTGTGGTGGACTCAAAGCTCTGTTTCTTAAAGGCTGTACACAGGTACTGTACAAGTCTCCACGGAAAGTTCAGTAGTCTAGAAAGCTGAATTTGGATTGGCTGGATTTGTTCAGAAAGTTCAATAGTCTGGAAAGCTGGATTGGTTGATTTGTTTCATGCAGTGTCTCATGACTCACATATGAGACATTGAAAATTGGATAAAGAATAATTCTAAAAAAACAAGATTATTCATCTATTTATTTTTTGTTCTGTCATCTCAGACTATCCAAAAATGTTACAATATTGTTTGCACAATTTGTTCCTTAAAATGGAACATTAGAGGTAGTCCTTGGGTTGCAATACTAATTGGGGCCAAATAATATGGACCTAAAGCGCAACATCATATGACTGCATTTGTTTAGTAACAGCAATCCCAGCAATCCCTATTGCCATCTTTAAGCAAGGATTGCACATCATTAAGCAGGGACTTTATATGATTGCAACTTGCAATTTCCTACCAGCTTCCAGCATGCAAATTCAGGGACGTCAGCAGGAATTTACAGTCCCAGTCACCACAAGCCTTTCCTCAGGCAGTCCAGAAAGAAGGCAGAGTGCAGATAAATATTATGGAGTGTGGCCAGGTAGAGATGGGTTTTGTGGGACAATTGTAGTTGGGTGGGGCAGTGCTGTGATGGGATATGAGTTTGGGCAGGTGGGTACTGCAGACTGCAACCAAGTGCAAAGGCAGTACTGCAGGGTCTGTGACAACTCGATGCCACCAACTCACCATGGCCAACTTGCCACGGGACAACTGATCATGCCCAGTTCACTGCAGGACAGCTCACCACAGCATAAGAGTTACACTAATATCGAATAAATAATGGAATAGAATCATTACAGAAAGGATGCCAAAGGAGGAACAAAATGAAATATAAATGACAAAAATTAATTTAATAATTTTAAATAGTTACATTGAATTGTTGAATTGCCCCACAGCAAGTTCCATGGTGAGTTGGCCATGGCGAGTTATCCCATTCTGGCTACTGAAGCATGGGTGGGGGCAGATGCTGAGCCCATTGCAAGCTGGTGCAAAGGAGTGCAAGGAGAGTTGGTGCTGCATACATGTGTTATGCAGTCGGTGAGCCCCAGGATCTCATATTCTATAACAGGCTCTCAAAGAAAAAGTGGCACCAGCAGCTTGCAACATTCCCTGCTAATGGCTTCCCCATTCACTTTGCCTTGTGAGAAGCAGGCAGGGAAGGGCATAAATAGAGAGTGCAGGACATTGGAACTATTGTAATTACAATCCAATTGCCAAACCCCTGAATCTTGATCATGTGACTGCAGGGACACTGACCGCTGCAACTTTGCAGATCAGTTGTAAGTTCTCCCATCCCCCTTTGTTCAGTGCCATCATATTTTTGAATAGCTGCTGAATAACTCAAAAAATACACTATTGCAAAAATAATGTGTGTATTTTTTGCTTTGTGGAAAACATCCATATGGCAGAGATAGGAAATTTAATTGCAGCCAGAGATCATACGCATTTGGTGTTTATGTAATATTGATGATCTTTATTCAGCGATCATAATTAGGACTGGCAACTCAATCACTAGATAATGTTGTTAGTAAGTGGAAAATCATATTATTGTGTTTGGTTCTTACTATTTTACTATAGGTTTCCTTTTTACCCATTCCCTGCCTTTTGAAATACTCACTCTGGCACTCAGATAATCTGCAAAAGGAAATTAATATTTGTATTTATAGTCATTGAAGAGGAAGGGATTACAGATAGTCATAAAACCATTTGTTTAATGACCGTTAGAAATTAAAACAACACTGGATACTTTGACTTTTGATCATTTTTCACACTTAACAACCATTGCAGTATCCCCCTTAGTCACATGATCAAAATTCAGATGCTTCACAGCTGGCATGTATTTATGATAGTTGCAGTGACCGGGATCATGTGATCATCTTTTGCTACCTTCTGACAAAGTCAGTGGGGAAGCTAAATTCATTTAACAACTAGGTTACTAACTTAACAGCTGCAGTGGTTCACTTAACAACTGTGGCAAGAAAAGTCATAAAAGTGGGGCAAAACTAATTTAACAACTCTTTTGCTTAGCAATGGTAATTTTTGGCTCAACTGTGGTTATAAGTAGAGGACTATCTGTACAAGAGAACACAATGGGAAATGAAATGGGCACATAGTGGAAATTTTTAATGTATGCTGAGAGCATATGCACCAAAGACAAATTCCTTGTGTGTACAATCACACTTGGCCAATAAAGAATTCTATTCTATTCTATTCTATATCTGGTAGCATCAGTTATTTGTCAAACACACTCAGGATTTCCAGTACTAGACATTCCTTTCAATATGTCAATAGTGAACAGGAGGAGCCAAAGTGGCGCAGTGGTTAGGGTGCAATACTGCAGCTACTTCAGCTGACTGCTAGTTCAGCAGATCAGCGGATCAAATCTCACCGGCTCAAGGTTGACTCAGCCTTCCATCCTTCCGAGGTGGGTAAAATGAGGACCCAGATTGTTGGGGGCAATATGCTATTTAGTATACTGTCTTTGATGTAAGCCACCCAGAGTCCTCGGAGAGTGGGCGGCATAAAAATATGAATAATAAATAAAATAAAATAAACATGTTATAGAGAGGCACTGTAAAAGTTGTATCTTCACAAAGTTATTTTTTCAACACTGCTGTAATTTTTGACAAGTTGATGCACAAGTGAGTGAGATTTACCCATATTTATTTACAGCAACATAAAATCAAAATTCAAAAGCTGCAGGAGGCATAGCAATTGGTTAATCATATAACAACATTGGCAGTTTCTTATGGGATCAGTTGCTTCTTTTTTTTTTAAAGGAGGGTGGTGAAAGAAAAATTATTTTGTATTGTGTTGAAATATATCACCAAATTTCTGGGTTTTGTTGTGAATTGCAACATCATTATTTTAGTGAGGCAGCAAGTGTAAGAAAAGCATGATTGACTGAATATTGCCAACTCATACTATAAGCAAAAATACAATGAAGAGACCTAGGAAATTGTCTATTTTCTCTATTTCTGTCTTTCTCTTAGCTGGAAGATGAAGCTCTTAAATACATTGGTGCAAACTGTCCCGAATTAGTGACTCTGAATTTGCAAACATGCTTGGTAAGAGGTTGGCCTTTATAAACCCAGTCTTTTTTTCCTTTCTTATACTATGGCAGCTTTATAAATTACCTATTCCATATCATATTCCGTGTTTTTATGTTATCAGTATTGGCTCAGCAGAGTGACTATTTTATAGTAGAAAAATATGGGGTATAAAAAAATGTTTAAAATGTGAACAATAACATGAGCCAGGGGGAATAGGTTGGTCAAAATCTGTACATTATATTATCCTAGTTCAACTAGTATTTTCATGAATCAGGTAGTTGATTTTCTTACTATAGTTAGAACAGATGTATTTTTTTGCCACTTTTTTTTTGTTTTGGACTTTGTGCCTTCATATTCTGAATTATGAGGATCACTAAGGAAAAAATGGATCAAGACTTAAACACAGTAGATTTAGGAACAAAACATAGGATTACTTAATTGACCAATCTTCTGCATGGTTAGGAAGCTAGCAGGGGTGGGTTCTATTTACCTTTACTACCGGTTCTCAGTTGGAGCGCCCGCGCGCGCTTCTGTGCATGTGCAGATCACCCATGATGATGTTGTGGCAGGTGGGTCGAGCCTCCTGCCGGGTTTTCTACCAGTTCTGTAGAATTGGACAGAACCGGGAGCAACCCCCCACTGAAGCCTAGTTAACACTGGCACCATTTCTCGATTTCTGTTTTTCCTATGACACCCTTATAGTTTTCTGACCCATATGACCATTTTATATATACGTGTGTGTGTGTGTGTGTACATATGTATGTATAAGGGGGTAAGGGAGAGTGGCAAATTAAATCATTATATTGGCTCCAAGATTACCTTTGAGCCATCAGTGGCCTCCATAAATATAACAGATGGTTGCAGTCTACTAGTTTGCTTCCAAATGTATCTATTAACCAGAAAAAGGATAAAGATAGATTGTGAAATAAAAAGGAGGTACCAGGTATCTGACTGATAACTTTTATCTTTTTTAGTTGATTAAATTCTCTAGGGCAGCTGCTTTGTGAATGGACAAGTTCTTCTAAAAGCCATTTTTCGCAATTCCTATGTGTTCCCCAAATTTCAAACAAGCCAATCAAATTTGCTGCACTTTCTGAATCCCTTGGTGCTTCACCTGCTTTTCTCATTTACATAAGAAAACAGGTGTGGAAACAACATCTAAGTAGAATTATTGGGTAGGAAGGCTTCCACAGCAATCTACTGATTAATAAGTGTGTATGTTTGTGCATGTGTCCACACACATGTAGGCCTGTGGAATTTTGAAATGGATTTTTTTTTTATAATAATAAGCCTTTCCTTGTAGTTGTAAGACTTGTTTTCTGGCACTTTTTGTTTTAAAATCATAAATGTGTACTCCATGCCTAATCCCTTCTATCAGCTGTCATTTTTCCTAGCATAATTTGAATTTTGAATTGGGGGATTTTAAAATACTCTTTTGGCACAAATGCTTTTATGACCTAGTTTCTGATCTCTTACCAATCAATCCGAAAATCACTATATTCACTATGTCACTATAATGACATAGTCATTGACAAAGCAAAAGTCATTTTTCCATGTCCAGACTGAAGACTTTGTTTGACTCCATCCAACAAATATTTCTCCATCCAAACAAATATTTCTAAATTCTCAAATTGGCAACTATTTCTTCATATTTCTATATAATGAATATCTAATATCTTGAAAAATCTTCCAAAACAATTGTTATATTAGCATTTAATCTGATAAATTTATCAAGCTTTCATTTGCCTTATATATGAACTTTTTTTCAAAGTTTGCTTGTAGAACAGGCTGGAAAAAAATCTTTATTTTCAACTATCATGCTTTGTTGGTTTTGTCTCATTTTTGTTTTCAACATGTGTTAAAAATATAGTCTGTTTTTATGTGTGTATAAAAAGAGCTGAAAGAGGAAGTACATTTTTTCTTCCAAGAAATTATCATGAACCAGTTTGTGGTGATGCCAAAAATGGAATATTTATCCAAAAAAAGAACTGATTTGGGGTGATTGTATGCAGTTGGCATTTTGGTTTTTCATAAGATAGTTACCAAATAGTCACTCATCCAATCGTTTCACCGGGAAATAGTTTTTAACATTTAATTTTAGAATTTGCAGAGAAAATTGAGCACAATTTTCATGCTTCTCGCTATAAATGATTGATTTTCTTTCCTTTTTAGCAAATAACAGATGACGGCCTCATTACAATATGTAGAGGATGCCACAAGTTGCAATCTCTATGTGCTTCTGGCTGTTCCAATATCACTGATGCCATCTTGAATGCGTTAGGACAAAATTGTCCAAAACTTAGGTAAGTAGATTTTTTTTCTTTCTGGTCTTAAGATTTACACATATGGACTATGTGCCTGTTTGGAACCTTTTAATATTTACAGAACTGTTTGATGGATACTCTGTCCTCATGTCTAACTTTGTAACTAGGCACAGTTCCTGTTGAATCCCTTCAGCTTTGACTATCACTGTATTGTATGTTCTTCTTTGAGCCAATCATATTTTACAATTATTTAAATACTTTACCTTTTATTTACATTTTCTTTAATCTCAGATCTCAAGACTCCTTAGGATTCATCAGTTAGAAATATCAGGATTAAGAGTGTACAAAATGTTTTTAAATTTAACCATTTCAGCTTTGAACACTCCCCCTAGTTTTGAGTGCAAAAATGGGTTTTAAGTGTGTAGCTAGCTATTTCAAGTATTTTGGGAACATTTTGAGCTCAAAACAAGCTAGAGTTTCCCAGGACAGGCATATTAAACACAAAACTACCAATTGTCTCTTAACATAAATCATGAGAAAGGTAAATTGTTTTTTCCAATAAGCTATGGAAATTACCATGTTTAAACTTCAAATGGTGTAATATGTGAATAGTTACCACAACTGTCAGAATAGGTCAGTCATTTTGAATCAATTGTAGTTATATGCAATTGTATATAATGAATCATTAGAAAAAACATCATTTGATCCCATCTTCTTGAACAATTTTCATCCTGTTTCCAAACTTCCCTTCTTAGGGAAATTAATGGAAAAGGTGGTTGTCTGGTAGCTTCAGAGTGTTCTGGATGAAACAGATTATCTGGACCCCTTTCAGTCAGGATTTAGGTCTGGTTATGGTACAAAAATGGCATTGGTTGTGCTTGTTGATAATCTCTGGCAAGAGTAGGATGGGATAATGCAACCATCTTTTCTATCTTTGATCTCTCAGTGGTATCCAATACCATCAGCATGGGTATCCTTTTGGGCCAGCTACAGGATTGGAGCTGAGCAGCACAGTATTGTACTGGTTGTGCTTCTTTATTCAAGGCTGATCGAAATTGGTGTTAATAGGAAGTGAAAGATACAGCCCACGGCCATGCTTGCCACAGGGCTCAGTATTCCCTCCACTCCTTTTTAACATCTACATGAAGTCGCTGGGTGAGATCATCCATTACCATGAAGTATTTTCTGCATTCTGAGGATATTCAATTCTATATTTTACCCCCTGGTGATCCAAGTGATGCTGTTTCTTCTTTTTCATAGGACCTTGGGGGTTGTGAGGGCCTGGATGGGGGACTTTAACTGAACCCTGGAAAGATTGAATGGCTTTGGGTATATGGAGCTCCAAAATCCAGGATTTTGACATCTTTAGTTTGGGTAGCATGGCAGTGACCCAGACAGATTCAATCCACAATTTGGGTTCTTTCCTGAACTCTCAACTCCTTGAAGAGCAGGTTGCAATTGTGACTAGGGGAGCTTTGCACAACTGAAGCTGTTATAAAACAGTTACAGCGTCTCCTGGATCAGGAGTCCCTGAGCTCAGTTATTCAAGCCCTAATCATCTTGCAATTGGACTACTGCAATATGCTGTACAAGGGGCTACAGTTGAAGAGCATTCAGAAGCTACAGCTGGTACAGAGTGTAGCAGTACCATCAGTTTTGGATGCCCATGTAACACCACTGCTCTGTGGGTGGCACTGGTTGCCAGTGTGCTTCCAGGTGTAATTCAAGGTGTTCGTAATCACCTTCATGACATGGTCCAGGATATGTGAGGGACCTTCTCAAGTAACAAACTTCATAAAGAGATTTCAAGAATAACAGAGCAACTGTAGGTATTTTTGAGTGCATACGAGATTTTCAGTTATATACTAGAGATATGGGGTAGAATTACCTTGCTTTAATTATATTATTTTATAATAATAATAAAAATAAATTTTAATTTAATTTAAAAAACTAATTTGAAAAGGATGAACTGAGAAAATTGTTCATGAGACAGGGCAACAGAGAATTAGGAAGAATTGTTCCAACATTTTGTGTTAATTGATAGGCAATTGAAAGAGTTGAGGTACAAATGAAATAGTAAAGGGAGAAAGTTTTACAGTCTCCCTTCACCCCTACCCTCTTCCTGTAGCTTTCTCAGATACCAGCACCAAACAGCCCACACAAATAGATTTCCTTTACAGCTAAATGGAAATCCTCTGCTGAAAAACAGCAATTCAGTCTCTGGCAATATCAGATCCATAATGTTTCAACCTTTTCCCTTCATTTAAAGCAGTGAGGCTTGCTTCTCTGTTCAGTGACAGTATATCTTGTGGCTATCTCCTTCTTTTTTCTCTTTATTGGAAAATACCGTATTTTGCAGATTATAAAACACTCTGAAGTATAAGGCACACTTAGTTTTTGGGGAGGAAAACAAGGGGGGGAAATCTGCCTCTGCCTCCCAGCAATTTACCTCCTTGCAGCAAACAGCCTGGTCAGCTTCAGCACCTTGCAGCAAACAGCCTGATTTAGCACAAGCAGCTGATTGACGGTTGGATCAGCCTCCCGGAATACTGCCTATCAGCTGTTCCAGGCTGCAGAGATCATCGCCGCCGCCCATCGCTGCTGCCGCCTATCACCACCTCCACATGCCCTGTTTTCAGTCTCCATGCATCCTGTTTTTGGCCCGTTCCAGGCAGCGGGAATTGCCGCTACCACCACCTATCTCTGCCACCTGGAACAGGCCAAAAATAGGACATGCGGAGGCAGAAAATGGGGCGCATGGAAAATGAAAATGGGGCGCACAGAGACGGCAATAGGCGGCAGCAGCAATGGGCGGTTGCGATCCCTGCAGGCTGGAACAGCTGATAGGTGGTATTATGGGAGGCCAATCCAACCGCCAATCAGCTGCTTGTGCTAAATCAGGCTGTTTGCTGTTTGGTGCAAGGAGGTAAATTGCTGGGAGGCAGAGGGCAAAAGGGGGGAGCTAATGGATGTGCGGGGCTTCAGCAGCCTTCGCTGTATAAGACGCAGAGACATTTCCACCCACTGTTGGGGGGGGTGCATCTTATACACTGAAAATAAGACCCTGTCTTACATTTTTTTGAACCACGAAATAAGGGCTTGGCCTTATTATTGGGGGGTATTATTATTTTGGGGCTGCAGGAGGCTGTGAGCGTGACCACCTCATGGCTGCTGCTGTGTTGCGCTGCTCTGGCAGCGCAACACAGCTGCTCATCAGCTGTTTGCTGGGGCAACCAAAGGTGGGAATCTCCCCGGCGTTCTTGGCACTTGCCTGCCTCCCATCCATCCCCCTCGCCTGCAAACTCCTGCCTCTCTGCCGGGTGATCCCTGGCAGTCCCAGGCCCCAAAGCCTGCACCCTCCCGGCTCCCTTTTCCACAGCATCCAGCTCTATATTGAGGGGGGTGGCATGTGGGGCAGGGGAGAAGCAAAATTCGTGGAGCGAGACGGGGCTTGCTCCTCTTGCTGTCCCTTCTCCCTCCCCCTTGTCAGGGGCTGGGGAGACAAGAGACACACGTCTTACCTGCCTTGGCGTTCTGTCGCATGTCTCGCCGTTGTCTGCAGGCAAACACATAGGGTAAAACTGAACTACTCGCGAGTTCGAGAAGTTTGATTGAACTCGTGAGGTTTTTTTTTACCCTACGTGTTTGCCCCTCTTGCCATCTCTTCTCCCCCTCTCACCGACATGGCAGGACTTCCTGCCCCTACCCAAATTGGATGCAATTTTGGGGTGGCAGTTGGGGAGGGGTGGGGCCGGGGACACAAGATGCTCATCTTACCTGCCTTGCAGCTGTGTTGAGTGTTCGCCGTTGTCTGCAGGCAAACACGTTGTAGGGTAAAACCAAACTTCTCGCGAGTTTGAGAAGTTTGAACTTGTGAGAGTTTTTTTACTCTACAACATGTTTGCCTGCAGACAACGGCGAGACACGGGACGGAGCTACAAGGCAGGTAAGACACATCTCATGTCTCCCCAGACCCACCCCTCCCCACCTGCCACCCCCAAATTGTATCTAATTTGAGCAGGGCCAGGAAGCCCTGCCACGCCCGGCAGGAGGGGGAGAAGAGACAGCAAGAGGAGTGAGTCTTGTCTTGCTCCATGCGCCTCACTTCTCCCCCACCCCCATCGATAAAGAGCCGGGCACTGTGGAAAAGGGAGCCAGGCGGGCATGGGTTTTGGGCATCTGGGGCTGCCGGGAGTCGCCCGGCGGAGATGCAGGAGCGGGACAGGAGTTTGCAAGCGATCACTTCCCCTTTGCCTTCTCTCCCAAAAGTGCTCCTCGGGTGCAGCCACTTCTACAGCAGGAGACTTGCGCCTCACACCGGCCTTCCAAAGGGTACCATAGCAGCAGCTATCCACAATTTTTTAACCCTTATTTCATCCCGACCCATGTGGCCCAGTACGGTCGGGACAAAATAAAGTAAAAAAAATGTGGATAGCTGCTGCTACAGTAAACTTCGGAAGGCCGGCGCAAGGCACATGGGGCACATCGCTTGGCCTCCTGCTGCAGAAATCCATGGCAAAAATGGCCACGCTTGCTGGAGGCGCCGGCTGGAGCGGCACCCATGAGGCAACCATGGACAGAATTACCTGCTGTGACTGTCACCATTAGGTAAGGAGGGTATGAGGCGTGTGGGGTGCATCGCTTGGCCTCCGGCTTATGGCCGCGCTTACTGGAGGCAGCAGCCTGAGCAGCACCCGTGAATCAGCAGTGAATGGCGGCCTGAGCGAATCAGCTGATCCAATTAAGGGGCCAAGAAGTCCTGAGGTGACCGGGGAAGGGAAGGGCTGCCTCCTGTGCTAGCCACGCCCACCCTGTCACAAGGGCTTATTTTCGGGGGTGGTCGTATATTTACGGCCACCCCAAAATCAGACTTGGCCTTATTTTCGGGAAATGTCCTATTTTCAGGGAAACATGGTATTTTCTAGCCTACTTACAAAGCATTTCATGGAAAGTCTAATACAGTGTCTGTCGTTTTTCTGCTTTCTTCTCTCTATGTTATATTCTTTGACCCCATGATTACTCTTCCAGTTAATCTCATCTTGAAAATAGCTTTTTTTATTGCTGAGGCATTGGATTATCAAGAATAGAATTGTATGTTTCTTTTTCTTTCTTTCAAAATCAGCCTCAGCGTTTCACTTAACACTGGAATTTTTATTGCTGTCTTTTCCCCCCCAACTCTAAGTACCACTAGAAACACTGCTTCATTCTTTCCATGACACTTGTACTTTTTAGGGTTCCTACCTCAACTCCTACCCTCAAAACGACACTATAGAGCACTGCACACCAGAACAACTAGACACAAGAACAGTTTTTTCCCGAACACCATCACCCTGCTGAACCAAATAATTCCCTCAACACAATCAAACTATTCACTAAGTCTGCATTACTATTAATCTTCTCATCATTCCTATCACCCATCTCCTCCCACTTATGACTGTATGACTGTAACATTGTTGCTTGTATGCTTACGATTTATACTGATTGTTTCCTTGTATGATTTGATTGCTTATTTGTACCCTATGGCTATCATTAAGTGTTGTACCTTATAATTCTTGATGAATGATTCTTTTCTTTTTATGTACACTGAGAGTATATGCACCAAAGACAAATTCCTTTTGTGTCCAATCACACTTGGCCAATAAAGAATTCTAATCTTCTAATCTAATCTTTTACCTGAACCGAATGCCTGTTTTACTACGTAAAAAAGTTCATTCCTGGCCTTCTATTGCCTATCTAAAGGGAAGAGCTTTCTTCACAGAATTCTCCTAATAGATAGTAGCAACCATGTAGGCTTGTTATGAGTTACCAGCTTTGCCTCTTGCAGTCTGTAGTCTTATCAAGAGTGATAGCAGAACTAGCAACATTTCCCTAGACTAGAGCACTACCTTACTGAAGTTATGTGGGCAGCCACTTAATCTCAGGCCTCCACCTTTACTCAACATAAAAATGGATTTGAGCTTACAGTGAGATGCAGTCCTTGGAAAGGCTTTCCTTGCTTTGGTAACCTTATATCACTCAGACTCTGTTCCATATAAGAAGCTTTTATATGCCTAAATGTGAATGAGAGAAATCATAATAATAAAACACTGCTTACTTACCTGTAATTGCAGGTACAGGTAATTTGTACGTAGTCATCTGAAAATTTACGCAATGCACCATGTTACCTTGTTTCATCTCAAATGACCTTAATGTTTCTCCAAGTCTTTTGTATCAGTCTTAGGAACTGAGAGGGTTCAGTGAGAACAGTGCATAGTCATATAGTACATGTGAGGATGGGGCTCCTTTCACATTTGTAAGCTCTGGAAGGCGCTGAATGGGGCTAGGTGGAGGCACACAAACTATGTGTGTCAAATCACAGAGTATTTGAAGAACAACAGTTGCAGGTAAGTAACCAGTTCTTCATCCACAGGACAATATAGGAGCATGTAAGCATGTTATATGTTTAGAATATATCCCATATCTTTGAGGGGAAAGCATAAAACATCACTACATAGAATAGAGTTTCATTATACTATTATGAACTGTGTCCCCCTCCCTTTCTGAAGCTAATTTATCATTCAGAAACAAGTATGATTCTTCCATAAATTAAGATAATTTTGATTAGATCGGTTTGAGAACCTGAACAAAATTAACTTGCCCTAAAGCAGGTTTATGAAGCATTGTTGAGAATCAAATGAAAACAGGACAGTGATATATATTGGAGAAATGGGGGATAGATGACAAAAGGACTCGGCTAAAAGGTGTTCCTTTAGCTAGGAAAGGCAAGCAAGCAGGAATGGAGATTTTTGTTTGTGAAAAATCTTTAGTATCAGGGCTGGGAAACATAGTAAAAATATTAAAATTTAGAAATAAGTCATAAAAAAGAAACTAGTTCTTTCTGAAATTTGTACTGTCGTATTTATTTCTTCTATTAGTGTTCTATTTTCTTGACAGAATTGTTGGTATCTAAAATCCCATGAAATGGAAGTAGAAAGAATTCAACATCTCCCCTATTTGGAATAAGGGGTTTAAAAAGTATTCCTAAATTCATACTGGCTTTCTGAGATTTCAGAAGGGGTTTTAAATACTAAAACTATTTGTTGGTACATCTATTTATTTTCCATGCAGGATATTGGAGGTAGCTCGTTGTTCCCAGCTTACAGATGTGGGCTTTACAACTCTGGCTCGGGTAAGCATTTGATGTCAAGGTTGCCTTTTCCATTATAGCTAGTCCTTGATTTACAACAATTCATTTAGTGACTATTCGAAGTTACAATAGCACTGAAAATAGTGAATTATATCTGTTTTTCACACTTACAACCTTGCAACACCTCTGTAATCACATGATCAAAATTCAGTTGCTTGGCAACTGACTCATATTTATGACAATTGCAGTGTCCAGAGGTCACATGATCACCTTTTGTAACCTGATAAGCAAAGTCAATAGGGAAGACAGATTCACTTAACAACCGTGTTACTAACTTAATAATTGCAGTAATTCACTTAGTGGTGGCAAGAAAATGGAGCAAAACTTATTTGACAAGTGTTTCACTTAGCAACACAAATTTTGGGCTCAATTGTGATCATAAGTTGATGACGACATGTAAATGCTGTTATTTGCTGTTTATGCCTGTACTTTATAAGTGAACGTCTTCTGTTTCAGTATTTCCTTGGGAGCCATTATGCTCCCCTTTAATGCTGCTCAGGAGCTTTAAGGATGGGAGAAAAAAAGCAGATACAGAGTCTCACATACCCAAATCGGTAATGCTAGTAGGTCTTGAGCCAAAACGGGTAGGATTAGTCCTAAAGAAACAAAGAAGAAAGGGAAGCAAATTAAGGATCACGCTTGATATAAAAAGAATGGCTTTCTGTTGCCTTTCCTGAAATATATGAAAAGCAGGATATGAAGTCTCAGAATAAAAAAAGACCATGAGAATGAATGAACATAGAGATTTTCCCATTCATGCTTTATCACCAAAGATTACTGTGTTTTCCTGAAAATAAGACTTGGTGTTATATTTTTTTCCCCTCCAAAAGAGGCACCAGGTCTTATTTCTGGGGGACGTCTTACCTGCTTACGTTAGGACCACTGCAGCCAGGTTTCCCATGCCCCAACACCTGTCGTGCCACTGCCTGACTTCTACAGCTGCTTGCGGCCAGATGCCATGTGGCACATAGCATCAGTGCCCGCTACTTGTGGCAGGACGCCACCTGGCTCGTGGCGCACCATGAGCAGCAGCGGCATGTGACATTCTACTATAAGCAGCAGCACTGGCATGACAAGCCATGTGGCCTCCTGCCATGAGCAGCAGTACCGGTGCAACGTTCCACAAGGTGTCCAGCCGCAAGCAGCGGCACCAGTATGATGAGCCGTGCTGCCTCCTGCCGCAAGCTGCAGCACCAAGACGAGTCATCTGGCATCTGTTCACAAGTGGCTGTAAGCAGCCGCAGAAGAAGCTGGGTAGCAGCACGACAGGCATTGGGGCATGGGAGCCCTTGCTGCGGCAGTCCTAAAGTAAAGAGGTGCGGGGCATGTAGGGCCACTCTACCCCCCCACCCCAGCTTGATTTTTACGCATGCGCCTTGCTCCACCTTGTACAACCAGACGGTAGGACGGAGTGGACAGGGTCTTAACTAGGGCTTATTTGGGGTGGGGGTGGGGTAAGGGGTTATATTTGGCACACGTACAAATCAAGCTATGGCTTATTTTCTGAATAGGTCTTATTTTCGGGAAAACACAGTTGAGCTAGCCAACTTTCCCTTTTTGAATCTAGAAGTGAGTCCAGGGTGCAGGAAAAAAACTAGCTTATGCCAAGATCTGAGAGCTCAGTGGTCATTTCCAATCCATATCTTTTCAAATGATATATCTTAATGCCTGCTTTTTTGTACAAACATGAAAGATCTGAAAAGATCCAGAATTCTACGCTTAACAGAATATGTGATTCCAAACATTTTAAAAATGATTGTAGTTTGATAGTGTCACAGGTGCTTGATATGGTTGAACAGAAGATACAGCAAGTTAATATTTTTAATGGTTGTGCATTATCCACCAATCTAAGTTTAGTGCAAACATTCAAAAACCTTTTCCTCTTTTTTATTTTTCCTCTTTGCATTTTACAAGTAGCTTTCTCCAATCTTGGGCCCCATTGTTCTTAGAATACCATGCCCATACTTGACCATTGGTCACAGTGGTTCAATATGATAGGAATTGAAATGTAATAATGTGGAGAGCAGTGGCTAGTCTAAACTCATAATGCACAGATAACTGTGCCTTATTAATGTAATCCATTTGAAGTACATTTGATTAGTTTGATACTATCTAGTGCTAAAAATAAAATCATTTCATGGAATAAGAACAAATTACTTTGATAATTAGACATTTCCATAAAATTATATAATCTCTTGTGATTGCAAACCTTGATATTTTTTTAGAGCTAAGTCAGAAAGAGGGGGCTGTGTATGTCCATATTTATTCCTGAACAAAATTAGCTTACCCTAAAATAATTTTAATACATTACATGCAATTGAGTTCTCTAGCAAAATTGGTTTTTTTATCCTTAAGTAAAGGTTACCCAACTGCTTACCACTGAAATTATTTCCTAGTAACAAATGAAACTTCTGCAATATCAGGACATGTTTCTAAAAACAAATTAATCTTTAATTTGTATGTATGTTCTCCAGAATTGTCACGAACTTGAAAAAATGGACTTGGAGGAATGTGTTCAGGTAATTGTACTATTTTCAACCTATTTTCTAGATTATTTAGTTAAAAGTTATCTAATGAAAAATAAATTACAATTCATCAAGAATCTGCTTGATTTTCCTTTTAAGCATCACAGCAAGCACTGAAGCAAGAAATATTTTTGAGTGATAATTTGCTGTGACACTACTCAGTAATGATGAAGATAGGGTATTACTAATATATAATGAGTTATTTTCATAGGCCTTTATTATATCTAAGAAAAGATATTCATGATTATAATGCCACAAGATTGAAATAAGTCTCTGAGTCACATTTATTGACTTTATAATGAAATTCAGAATTGGAACAAGTGCAGGCATATCCTATTCAATCTTTTGGCTTGCCTGGGCTGCATTGAGTGAAGAGAAATGTCTTGGGCTGCATATAAAATATATAATATAGTTGGTGTATAAAAATACACATAATGTTAAAAGTTTACAGTCCTGCAGGACTGCATTATTAGCTGTCTAGGGCCCCATTCAGCCCTTGGGCTGCTGGTTGAACATGCTTGCTCTAGTGAGAAGCAGTTGATCTACTTTCTCTTTTTGGCCCAATAAACATCTTTCAAAGTGTGCAATACATTAGGCAGAAAGCTTCTTCACTCTGCTTCATTGGCTGCTTTAAGCAAAAAAGGAATAATATCTATGCAGTTTTCTGACATCATGTGTCTCTTCTTTATTACACATTACCAGAGAGTTGAGAATATATCACAGAGATTAATCTGTTTAGTTGCATACAATTATATTATGAAGATTCACACACAAAATAAATAAGAAAAGCATTAGATTACATGATGGGAAACAAACAATTGGTATGTCATCTACCAGTATCCTTAGTATCAGCCTGGGAATAAGAAGAACAAAGTAGAGGAAAAGGTTTTTAAAGTATAGAGGATTGATTTCAATTCTGCATGGTCTTGTGCTTCTTTTTTATTTTTAATCAGATCTCTCCGTAATTGTCAGCAATAATTAATTTGTGATTAAGTGAGTTTACAGGTGGTCTTCAGATTAATGTTCTTCTTAGTTATTAATTGTAAAGAGACCCTCATTTTAAATCGTATTGAATGTAATCTGAATTAGAAAAACAAATTTTATCTAATTTATGGATACCTTAACATTATTACTGGCTTAGAAATACAGTACTTTCTATATTAAGAAATTCACATTTTGGCTTTTGGCCCCACCCAAAATTCTCATTGTGGAAATGACCAGAAAAGAATCAGTACCTCTCCTAGCAACTTTCCTCTTCAAGCTTTATGTTGTTCGTGAAAGAACGCTAACACAAAATAAGTGAAATGATGCATATGAAACTTCTTACCAGTACAATATACAACTTTAGTTTCAAATATGTCTTTTCTTCCAGATAACAGACAGCACATTAATCCAGCTTTCCATACACTGTCCACTGCTCCAAGTTTTGGTGAGTTACATTTTTCTTGCAGGCTAAAATTTTATCCAACCCATTTTTTCATCTGCACTATAGAATTTTAGAATATGAGTTAGAAGGGCCAAGAGAATATTTTATTATATATCTTAGGTGAAGTGCACTTTTAAGAGGCTGAGTTATATAACTGAACTTATATACTTTACATACAACCAGATAAAATTTGGTATTCCCTAAATACTCTGAACAGGACTGCATTCCTGTTAAATGTCAACTTAAGAAGCTTTTATATATTATAAAAGGACCAAGTATGCAATGACTTGGAAAAAAAATAACTAGGCACTGCAGAAATCTGAAGAGGAGAAAAGGGAAGGCAACATGCACCCTACAAAACATCCTTCTAGAGATTATTAAGGTGCTATAGACCTAGCTGTTCCCCCAGGTGTCTTTCTGAGTCTTGTGCTGCTGGTCAATGTAGATACGATATATTTATGAATTAGATTGTATATGACATGAAGCGTTCGGTTTGATTAAACTCTAGTGGTGATGGTTTTAACTTTTGTAAGCCCTCCACAATAACTTTGGAGATTATTAAGATTGCTTACTAATGATTCAAATAAAAAAATTGCAGAGAGAGGAATTGGCATGCTATCCAAAATATATATGGAACTGGGGGTTTTAGAAAAAAAGAGGATCCATGGGGCTGTGAATTTTAAACTGAAGGATTTAAAATATTGTGCAGGATTTCAGCAGAACAGATTGTAGTGAATAATTGAGGCATGGGCCTGGTAAATTAGATTTAAAAAAATCTGCAAAACCAAGTCTTGATTATTTATTTATTTATTTTATTTTTATTTGATTTATATGCCGCCCTTCTCCGGAGACTCAGGGCGGCTTACAATGCGTTAAGCAATAGCCTTCATACTTTTGTATGAATATATATGTGTGTGTATGTATGTATGTATGTATGTGTATATATATATGTGTATATATATATATATATGTTTTCTCAGGTTTTCGCGGGTGTTTGTATGTAGGTCTTTGGTTGTTCGGGTCTTCTCTTGCTTCCAGGAGCAAGAAGCACGAAGCCGAGAACACCAGCCTGAAGATGACGAATGAGACTTCGTCGAAATGTCGCCAAGACACTTCCAATTTTATGTGGGAGAAGACCCGAACAACCAAAGACCTACATATATATATTTATTTTTTCCAAATTTAAACATAAAACATAACTTTCAAGAGCAAAAATCTCGATCCGGTCATAGATGGTTACCACGCTTACATTCCTTTCACAAGCTCTATTCACAATTTCCATTACATCTTTTACAAGTAAACAAAAAAGAAAAGAAAAGAAGATAAAAAAGAAATTCAAAACTTAAAAAAACCAATTTTAAGTCAAATTTAACATTTTCATCTATATAAATCCATTATATCTATCCAAAATTAATTTCAAATTCACTTTCAATCATTTTACATCTGCGTACCAATTCTAAACATATCTTTATTCTTCTTTACCTTATATCTTATACAAGTCATATCAAAATAATTTTCACAATATTCTAACCTCTTGTTAACTGTTTACCTTACAATTTTATCACCATTTATTCTTAATTTCAATTCAGTACCACTCCATTTTTATTATATTTTATAAAACAACATTTTGTCTAATATTAATCCTTTGACCCTTATCAAATCAGTTTACCTTAGTTTTTTTTTCTCCCAGATTGCATATTACACAGATTTCTCACAAAGGCATATTTTATTTACTCCAATTTCTAATATATTTTCCACTATACCACCCTCTAATATTTAACTACCTTCCAGCTTATTCTATTTGATTAATTCTCAGCTTGATCCCCTCCAAAACACCAAGTATTTAGTTAATTTCTGAATAATTCCTCAATCTCCTCCAACTCTCCTCCTATTTGTTTGCTGTTTCCAGCATTTTGTGGACTGATTTCCAGCATAGTCTCCTCCAACTCTCCTCCTATTTGTTTGACTGTTTCCAGCATTTTATGGGCTGATTTCCAGCATAGTCTCCTCCTTAACTCCCTCCATTATTTGGCTGATTTCCAGCATAGTCTCCTCCAACTCTCCTCCTATTTGTTTGGCTGTTTCCAGCATTTTGTGGACTGATTTCCAGCATAGTCTCCTCCAACTCTCCTCGTTATTTGTTTGACTGTTTCCAGCATTTTATGGGCTGATTTCCAGCATAATCTCCTCCTTAACTCCCTCCATTGTTTGGCTGATTTCCAGCATAGTTCCCTCCAGCATTCCTCCTATTTGTTTAGCTGATTTCCAGCACTTCTAATTAATTTCCAACATATTTCCACCGAGTCTCAAACTCTTATCTAGTTGGTATCCATCCCACACATTTTAACTGTAATATAATTATCTGTTTTATATCATTTTTCCATCCTACTCTTTCAATTTAAATCTCAGTATATTTCATAATAGTCATCATTTCCAACATGTATTACCTTAATTCAAGACTAATCACTAGCATCTGTGTATCTTGTATTTTATTCAATCAATCCTTATTCATCAGTTTAAAATTTGTTTGCAAATTAAAATTAAAACATATTACATCAAACAGTACATTTTCTTAAAATTTTCCTGCCTCAAAATATATTCTTCTTTATTATTTTTACCCCCTTGATATCATCCACTGTTTTAATAGCCACCTCTTATTTTCTATTTTTATTATTTCACAACCCTTCCTGTTTTTTTCCAAAAATTATATATACCTAGGCTTTTAAACTTTATCATATATACATAGGCTTTTAAACTTTACAGTCATATTTAAATTTATCCACTTTAATTCTTCCTTTTCTTCCTTTTCCTCTCTGTCCAAAGTGCTCTATTTCAAGGTTCATCAGTTCAAAATAAAGAATTTCTGTATGTCCCTTTAAAACTTTTAAAATGTCTGTTCCAAGTGTAGTGCATCAGCTTCCTGTCTTTGTTAACTACGCCACACCTAGCTTTTATTTACAGTTTTGTCAGTCTCCATTGTTAAAATCCAAAATGTTCTTTCTTTCTTCTTTCTTCTTTCTTAAAATCATCTGGGACAGAGTAGGAATCTCCAAAATCCTTATATCCAATACTAATTTCAAGTAATCCAAGGTAAAATGCCAATTAACATGTTTCTTTTCCACCCAGAAAGGGAAATCTCTTCAATCCACTTCCCTGCTTAGTCACTGCAGACTCCATGGCTATTTTGTAGCCATCCATCTGTCTATCTTCATTAGCTTCATTAGCTTCATTTTCTTTTAGAGGCATTAATTCTCAGGAATATCCATTTCTCCTCTCCACTCCAATTAAAGGCACAGTCAAATTTCAGAAATTTATTAATGCCAAATCATCCAATTTAAGTTTACTGCAACAAAATTCAGTTTGGGTCTTTTACCCATTTTTTTTTTCCTTTTCAATCTTTAAGCCCTGCAGTCCAGCAGCCGCTTTTAAATTTGGGGTTTTATTTTCCAATAATTCCAAATAGGTACGTTATATTGCCTGGGTTGGTGTCACTCACCCAGCTTCTTGATCTTTGCTCTTTCTTCATCTTCTTCCTCCAGCACAATCCTTGTTCCCGGTTGTCGCGGTTTCAGGACAGCCGCCATGGCTGCCGTTCCGCTGCCGCCGACGTGAAGGAGAAGCCTCCGGCCCCGAGGAACCTGCTCGTTCCTCTCAGCCGCCCAAGACGTTCCTTCTTGTCCCCCTGTCCCTACAAGACACGGGAGGTCTGCAGACCTATCGGCGGCAGCTTAGCAGAGGGGATTTGGCAGGGCTCAGCGGAGCTCGCCATTTCCCCGTCTGTTTCCCTGCGGCGCCAACCGGAAGTCCATACTTTTGTATATTTTATACCAAGTCACCTTATTGCCCCCACAATCCAGGTCCTCATTTTATCTACCTTAGAAAGGATGGAAGGCTGAGTCAACCTTGAGCCTGGTGAGATTTGAACTTGCAGTAATTGCAGGCAGCTGATGTTAATAACAGTGCTTTAGTCTGCTGCGCCACCAGGGCTCTTATCACCTGTTACTTTGTTTTCCCTTTTAATGGCAGAGTTTATCACACTGTGAGCTTATCACCGATGATGGTATTCGCCATTTAGGCAATGGTGCCTGTGCCCATGATCGCTTAGAGGTGATTGAGCTGGATAACTGCCCCTTGATCACAGATGCCTCCTTGGAACACCTCAAGAGTTGCCACAGCCTGGAAAGGATAGAACTGTATGACTGCCAACAGATTACCCGAGCTGGAATTAAGAGACTCAGGGTAAGAATATATTTACATTGTTTAATAGATTGATGTGCAGATAGTTCTAGCTCCTGTACTTGTTTAATTCTTTTCTCATCCTAACAATAGCTGCAACTACTTAGAACATATTCTTCAAATTGAAAGTAAGGGGTATATGACATAATATCAGCATATTAGATTTACTATTCAGTTTGAACTGGGAAGTTATAGATTCAAGCCTCCATTCAACCACAGAATGCACTGGAAATTGGGGGTCAGTCATTCTCTCAGTCCAGCTTTTCTCACAGGGCTGTCATTATGGGATAAAATTAGAACAGACTTCCATGTAAACTGCTGGGATAAAGACAGGACATAAATGTGACAAATAAACAGTAAATCAAAATCGAAGACTTGTTGCCTGGGTAGGTTAAGAATGAGATGGAAATTAGTTTCCAACTTTACAAAGAATTCATAGGACCCAGTGACTATTGGTAACATTCTATAAAAAATATCCTTCAAACAGATAGCTAAAATTGAATTTATCCCATTAACTCCCTCCTCCTGAGATACTTTGATTTATTTGTGGGCCTGTCCTGCTTTCTTGAGAGAATGTTGATATTCATGCACACTAGTAAGATCCTTCTCAGTGCAGAAAAGCACTTGCACAGTTCATTATTTAAAAGAGCTCAAAATAAAATAATCATTTACACAGTTCAAGCATCTTAAGAATTTAATTGCCTGCCCTAAATGTTACTTCTTGGCCTGATGATGAAATAACCCTTCAGTCATGCATGTTTGTGTCCCTGTACTTCGATTTCTTTTTCATTTGTGAGTCAGTGTCTTTTACAAATCTATAGAAAGTGAAATTAAGGGAAGTTCTCTTTACCAAAGCAACCAGATAATAAAGGAAATAGTGAAGTTAAAAAAATTACATATGGACAAAACTAAAGTGGGGAAGATTGGGGAAAAAAACCATTGGTTTTCCTTAAAATATCTTTTATGCAGAATATTTTTTTCTGCATAAAAAGGGTCCAATATTACTTCATGTTCAACTTTTTAAGTTTAAAATCTTTGTTCATGTTTTTGGTATTTTTAAATTTTTCTAAATGGGAAAAATGTGTTTGTCTTTTCAGACCCACTTACCCAATATAAAAGTCCACGCCTACTTTGCACCTGTAACTCCACCACCATCTGTGGGGGGCAGCAGACAGCGTTTCTGCAGATGTTGCATCATCCTATGACGTGAGAGCCAGTCTACCTTGTGAAAAACAAACTGAGTATTTAAATTACCCTTCTAGAAGTTACAGTGGACACCAGTATCTCTGCCAACAAAATGATGCCAGTGCTCCTTCATCAGGGCCTTTGGAAAACAAAGCAGGGGAAGCTGGTGCAAAACATTGTTCCCCTTTTTTACCCTATGTAAAAATACACACACACACACACACACACACACACACACACACACACACTAGTATATACATACTTACTTATTCCAATAGACTGAAGGTCTCTGCAACTGAGGACCTAAATCTATGGGAACTTTCCCCTCTCCCCCCATCCTATTGCCCCGTGGGTGGATTGCTATAATTGTAAACCATTCCTACAGAGCCTGCTCAGAAGAAATCATGGGGTGGCGGGTGGGAGAAAAGAGTTATTGGTTGAATCACTTCGCACATCAGAAGAACTGTTGTTGCTTCCAAGAGAGGGAAAAGTTGTTCTTTTGACACTGAAAGCAGCAAAAAAAAAAAAAAAATGATGTTGGGATTGAAAGAGAGGTTTATAACTGAGGAGGAACAAACATGAGCACTGAACCTTGAAGATACTGTTCAGGTGGGAGGAAAATGTACAAAGCAAAAAGAAAACACAATGCCCTTGGGTATATTTTTTATTTAAAAAGAAAATCATATGTGTGTTAAGGAATGTTAAAACAGCAGCCATTGTGAGATGTAGATTCCTGCGCTTCTGTACTTCCTTGTTTTCTGTGCCGGCACATACACTGAGCATGCTCATCTTGGAGGTTCAGCAGTTTCTCTTCTTTTATAATATTTGGCTCAGAGGCTTCCTAGATTGTTGTGATGATAAAGCTAGAAATCTGTAATGTCAGGCCTGATATCTTTTTCCCCCCAATCTCCTCAGTATCTTTTTTTATATATAAACTAGATGTCTAATTCTGAAACTGTATGAAATGACTGAACATATAATACACATGCCAAGTTAATATTTCTTTTCAAAAGGCATCTTTATATCACTAGGAGATAAAGCTTTGAAAACATAGCTGTGAAATGGGTTGAAGTTATAAAAGCAAAACTCTTTTGTAAAGGTTATTCTACATTTTTTTTAAACAAGTAATGCAATCTGGGGAGAAGAGAGAAGTTCTGTCTATTATAATGTATTACTTCCAAAGAAATGGGTGCCTCATAAATCAGAAATGGTATACAAACATAGATTATTCTAATTTCAGTGACAAATGCCCTTTTCCATTATTAGATGAACTTGGAAAATTCCTTTTCAGATACCTGGACATTTATGGAAACTACATCAGATGTTTTCATTTTATTTAGAAGTAAGTAGAACTCATGATGGAAAAATTCAGGTCCATCCAGTTCAACACTGAAGGATTATATTTACTGAACTTGGTTTGATTTGCTCAAAGCTGCTGTTTCAAAAAAACACTGGAATCATCTTATGATGCTTTTTCGGAAGCCATTTTTGGTATCAGACATGGTTTAAAAGGGCTGTGGGGATGATACAGCAACATTCCAACCTTCTCTTCACAAATAATGCAAAAGAAGCCCCAAAACACATGCCAAAGGTCACCAAACACTTTCCCTGATATCCAATATCCTGCTTTTATGAATACTTCTTGTTAGTGAATGTTTATCATTTGCTTTTGCCATTCAAACTACTAGATGTGTTGCTTTTTTTCCTTCTGTGCCAGTATTTGACACAGTATGGTTTACATTACAGGGTTTTTTCTCTCTCGCAGGACAGTTAGGTCCAAAATTTAACCTGGAATTTAGACCTTTCCCAATGAGGCTCTTTGGTTGTTTGGATTGCAAACTTCCATTATAATCACACTCCTCTCAGCCTTCAGATTTGAAGATTGTTTTTCAAACAATCATGGTGTTTAAAGTATCATCTCAATACATTCCGTTGATACAGGAAATTGAAAACTACCATAAAAATGGCAATATTTCAGAATGTTCAGTTGAAAAAAAGATCAGTGAGGCAGAAAGACAAGCAAGGCAGGAGACATTAAGTATTGCCTACATCATGAAAGTTACAGATTTTAAAGGGATCTTCACCCACTTCTTGAAGCAAAAGCGCAGCACAGATTGCAGAGTCCCATCCAGACAAGTTCCCACAATTTACATTAATTTATTTTTCTCTTGCCAAGCTTATAGATGTTAAAATAAACTTTCTTAATTATACCTTAATTATACTAGAAAGACTAAGATGGGGTAGAATTCCATTGTTTTATTAAATTGTTTTGTGACAGGTTCTTTCATTTTTCTTAATCAGCAGCATTTATTTTGAGATCAGAAAATGTTTTCCCTTTGCTCCATATGAAATATTTGAATTTGTGCTGTGAACTCAATATTCACAATTTCTTTTGCACAGATACTTGCTTTCTTACACAAACATTTACAATGAATTTTCTCAACTCACCAATATATAGTTTTTAAAGGGCTTTAAAACAATTTGGACTGTTCCAAAATATTTTTAAAAATATATTTTTTGAAATGTCATTTTTCTCTTCTCTACAATCTCTTCTAATTTATAGTTTTAAGAAACGATCATCTGGTTCCAGTAGAGAAATATTATAAGTGATTATCAACTCCAGTGTATACTATTGATCTACTATTACAGTGTAAATTCACTCTTTTTGAATCCCAAACACCATGACGATGATTATTATCTAGAACAAATTAGAAACTTGTGTGTGTTATCACCTTGTCAATGGTTAGCAAAGCTTTGAAGATAACCCCAGAGTGTTTTGGATTTTTTGTTTATGAATGAACATGTGGGGATAAATGTCAGGTGTTATTCATGTGCAAAGCCCCCTTGAGATGAATGAAAATATTTGCTGCATTACATATTGTGTATTTTCAGTTTAAATGGTTCTCTTAAATGTTCCATTCTATCTAACAGTAATATAGGGCTACTTGTTCAGGGCAAGATAGAAATAGCTCTACTTATGTCACATCTGGGGTTGAAGGAAAGACTTTGGGCAAATTGATAGGTTAATTTCTAGGTTTTTTTCTGTGGATTTTTAAGATCCAGCATCATAACATGCATTTTACTTGCATTCATGACAATAAAGATTTGCCATGATTGCCAATAATGGACTGCGTTTTCTGGAGTTAAAACCCAGAAGATAAGCAAGGGTGTTATTTACCTGGATGTAGCTTCAAAGAGCAGATGAGTCTAAGTACTAATTATTAATGTTAGAAAAAATCTTGGCTTTGACAAATGTCAAGATTTGATCTGAGTATATTATGTGATGAAAATTTCCCATTCTCTAAAACTATGGGTTGTCCAAACTCAGTTTGTGTTTGCTAGCTTTGACAATGTAGGTTATTAGGAGCTGGGTTAGATGAAGATATATGACTAAACTGCTGCACAAAAAAAGATCAGAGTGAAGATTCTGATTCTAATTTTGGCTCTGCTATTTTCCAAAGAGCATTTATGCCCATCAGCTCTGTCCAAGACACCCTTGGTTTTCAGACAGATTTTTCCCCAGACAGTCCCTTCCCCTAATTTTTTTCCTCTTCCAGACTAATATGGCCACAAAGCATATCAGTAGGAACTCTTAATGTTTAAAGGTATGTCAGAATTCCTTCAAAACTGGGTCTGGGCCATAAAACCAGTATGTATTTGCATGCTAATGCACTCGCTTCACTTCATTTCCACAGTCTCTTCAAGAGACATTAGTCAACACCATAAGTGCTGAATTACAGCATAGCTGATACATAACCTGTTGCCATCTCTGGGTAGTCAGGTAGCCTGAGCAGTGGAGGGCAAAAAAAACAAAACTGTTTCTCCTCATCTGTTTTAGAGGAACCACCCATTCCAATCTCCCTCAGCATTTATTCCCAGAGATTACTAGTGAAGGCCATGATCTCAATATCTGGCCTGTATTATAAGAGATGAAAAGGATAGGAAATGTCCTAGAGTCTTTCCAATTGAATCAACTCAAGGTGCAAGAAGAGGTTCTGCAGCAATCTCCATATTCCATTCCTCATAGGTGTATCCTTACTGCAGATGCTGTCATCAGATGGGAAAGAGCTGAATGGAAGCGATTAGATAATTTCATTAAAGAACATAGAGGAAGGAGGGAAACAGCCTATGGGCCACTGATAGAATTTACATATGCAAATTTACCCCAGGTTAATAAATTCTGTAAAACCCCAACACAAGGAATCATGATTTTCCAATTAAAAAATTCCTATGCATGTACAAATAGTGGATATTTTCTTTGCAGCTCACATATCTGCTTTGTGCCTCCCCTTGCCTGAAGCATGTAACAAAACCATTTAGGATTGAATGTGGAAACCATCAGGATTGTGAGGAGTGGCAAAAACTCTGTAGGTCAGGGGTGTCAAACTATTTCATTGAGGGCCGCATCAGGGTTATGTTTGACCTCAGGGGCGTGGTGGGCATGACCAGTTTGACGTCACTTGTGTCGGGGGCATCTGTGGTGGCCCAAGCACTCTGCCAGTGGAAAAGGGCTCCAGAGCTCCATTTTCAGCTGCAACAGCCTCCTGCCACCCTCTGCCAGTGAAAATAGAGCTCGGGGGGTCCACACGTGGCCCCCTGAGCTCTGTTTTCACCGGCAGAGGGTGGCAGGAGGCTATCACAGCCAAAAACGGTGCCTGGGAGGGCCGCACGTAGCCCTCCCAAGTTAAGTTTTCACTGGCAGAGGCACCATGGGCTGGCCTTTTGGTGTTTTTAGGGCAGCCCCATGGCCCAGATCTAAGCACCCTGTGGCCAGATCTGGCCCCCAGGCCTTGAGTTTGACACTCTGGTGGAAGGCTAATTAAATTTACTAACATAATGAACCCACATAACTACATATAATCTAAAGACAGTGTCACAAATGTCATGGTAGAGTTCATCAGTGCATAAACACCAAATTACTATATGCTATCCCATAAGTCTCATAAGGCAAAACGTCAAACATCTCATCCAGGTTCTTGTCTCAATACAGAAAATCAAGATCTTTGAAGATATTGTATTTCACATTCTCCATTATTCTTGAAAAAAAAGAATTATACATTAATCTTGGATGTGTAATGCATAAATTGCCATATCAAATATTAAAGGTTTGGGATGGAAACATCCAATATAGAATGTCTCAAGAAAGACAAGACTTTTATTTAGACATTCCCCAGGCACCCACTTCTTCCATTCAACAGCCCTTGAGGTATTGATGGTAATCAGTATAGCCAATCTCATACCCCAAGTGCTCCTGCCTATAGGATATACTGGTTCAGCCACCATAGATTGAACAGGAAAATGTTCAATAGACTATGAAAGATCTGGTCTTTAGAAAAATAAAATTTAAAAAGAACTCACTAGCATCAGGATCATAGCACTTCAGTGCCATTCTCAACACCAAAGAAAATGAACCAATCTCTACCCACAAACAGACAGCTGCCAAAAATGAATATGTCCAACTATAACAATGATAGATTAGCTCAATTGAAAGACATATCTTGAAAATATAGCTTAATTCTGGAATGCTTGAACAAATCCTGTTAATCTTCAGGAGGTTGACAACTGATCTAAGAACATGTATGATCTACAAACCTGAGAAATTAACCTCAGACGTCCCAAACCAAGGAGTATAGGCAGCAAATGTATGAATTAGATCAAAAATCTGTTATTTATGCCTTTACATTCCCACTAATCTCTTAATGCATTCTATGTAATGCAGCTATACCCCATTACTATACTTGTATCCAACCTTTGTAACTGAGATTAATTCAGCCTTCCCCCAGATTCAGCAATTGATTCTCCCCTCCTTTCTCAACCCAAATGTGTAATTAGAGGGTATTTGGCAAAAACTTGGATGTCAGATGTCTGTTAAGTTTTGTTTGACCAGAACAGAGGAATTCAGAACTTCAATCTTCTCATCTTCTTCAACAGACCCATTTGGGTTGCAGAGCTTCATTGGTTATTTCCTATATCAAAGTAGCCTAGAAAACCCCAAGTATGCACACTCTGTTAGAAGCATAGCCACCTTACCCATATTTTATTTATTAAATTTGTTTGCTGCTATCTTGCTGTGAGGTGACTCTGGGCTACTTACAGTGTTAAAAATTGACACAAATGCCTCCAAAGATATATGTGATGCATACTTTTCTGGTGTCCTATTTTGTAAAATAAGCTTAATTTACATGCCTCGAATCAAAGTCTCTTAGCATATGGGTCTGGGGCATTCAGCTATAAGATCCCACCCACAAAGTCATCCTGCTCTGTAATAGAAAAACATTATATATATCGCACTTACATTAGAGTCAAGCCCACCCAGTTACTAACCAAAAACCAAAGTCACAAAAGAGTTCCCAGTCAGGTTTAATCAATTGTACATATCAACTGAGCTCTCCCATAATAAATTCTGAAAAGGGGATGGCATCTCTTCCCCCCCCCCCGAAGAAATACCATCTGAATCTTTTATCCTGTCTCAGACATGAGCAATGGTGGGGGAGTTTTCCCACTGTAGAATGCTGACTATATTGAAAACTAGTTGGAAGGCCATTATTATTATTATTATTATTAACATTCATAATCTTTTTTTATTTAATTAGAAATCACAATAACCTGAGATGTCAAAATAATAATATTGCCATTGGATATGCCTGTACCTAAACAATAATAACAAATGCCTCAGCAAAAATTGCACACAACACGAGACATACTATGTTACATATTGTGGAAAACAATAATTCTTGCATATCAGCTGAACTATACATAATCCATTTGCCTTATAAACATAGTGAATGTGCTGGGAATGACAATATATCTTCAATGAGTGATCTGAAGAACCTCCAGCTCTGCTGAGTCAATAAATCTAATGCTCAAGATATGCTAACACAGTGATATTTCACAATTCTAAAGCAGTTATTCCTGAAGATAGAAAAAAATAACTTAAAAAAAAGGTTATTTTATTTAGTTTTATTTGAAAGTGGTAGATGTGGCATCTTAAAATGCTGTGTTTTCAGGAGAAAGATCCATAGACCAAGTTTTACTACTTTTAAGTATAATTAGTTCACTTGGCTTATATTTGTCCCTGGAAGGCAGAAATAAAACCATAGATTTGGAAGAGATCATTTCAATTTTTGGATTTATTTATTTATTTTATTAAAGTATATTTCTATACCGCCCTTCTCCTGCGGGACTCAGGGCGGTGTACAGCCAGGATAAAACATAGCATATAAAATTTAAAAACATTTTTAAAAACAATTAAATAATTTTGGCCCGAATTTAAAACAATTAAAACCGAAATTCGATTAAAAAACTGAGAGGGTGGGATCAAGCCAGCTCACCTAGATGGAACAAGTGTGTCTTCAGGGCCCGACGAAAAGTCTGGAGGTCTGATATCGTGCGTATCTCAGGGGGCAGGTCATTCCAGAGGGCAGGTGCTGCCACAGAGAAGGCTCTCCCCCTGGGGGTCGCCAGCCGGCACTGCCTGGCCGATGGCACCCTGAGGAGGCCCTCTCTGTGCGAGTGAACCGGTCGGTGGGAGGCTATTAGCGGCAGAAGGCGGTCTCGCAAATACCCCGGCCCTAAGCCATGGAGCGCTTTAAAGGTGGTTACCAACACCTTGAAGCGCACCCGGAAGACCACAGGAAGCCAGTGCAGCTCGCGCAGGAGAGGTGTTATATGTGAGCGCCCCGTCGCTCCCATAATTCCCCGCGCAGCCGCATTCTGGACCAACTGCAGCCTCCGGGTGCACCCCAAGGGGAACCCCATGTAGAGAGCATTTAACCTACTAGTATCAAATTAGAAGACAAATTATTATTTTCTCCAATTGGAGCACATTTGGTGAACTGCAATTCATGACTTCTCTATTTGTCAGGTGGTGGTAGTTGCTGCTGATAGAGTAGAACAGAACAGAACTAAATAGAATATTGACCAAGTGTGATTAGAAATACAAGGAATTTGTCTCCAGTATACAAGCTCCCAGTGTACATGCAAAAGAAGAAAGTAATAATCATAATAACAAAGGATAATCATGATACCAATAAAGAAGGTAATGCAACAGATCAGAAGGATAAATGTAATACTGTAAGTCATACTACATGGGTAATATACTTAGACATAAGACAGAACTGTGGAAAGCAATATATAGGTCCTCAATGGAAGGCAGGCTGGTTGCAATTATTTTTTCTACAAACCTTATCCGTTGAAGTCTGTACCTGTCCTGTCTGGTTGCTGTGCCAAACCGGACAGTGACCGAGGTACAAATGACACATTAAGTAATTCCTCTGTAGAACTGTATCAGCAGCTCCTTAGACGGTCTGAACTTTCAGAGTTGACACAGGAAGAACATTCTTTGTTTTGCCTTTTTAATGATGGTTCTAATGTTAATGTCTATTTCAAATCCTGGAAAACTATAGAACCCAAAAACTTTAAGGACTCTACTGTTGATACTGTGTTCTCTGATAGAGGTGGTAGAGAAGGAATGCTCCTCCTGAAATCCACTCTTATCTCTAGTTTTAAGCATTTTCAGCTCCCGATTGTTCGAGCTGCACATAGGGTCAGTTGTACAACCTCCCTTTGAACAGACTCATCATCTCGAATGAGACCAATGACTGTTGTATCATCTGCAAACTTACATATTTTAACAGAAGACTATTTAGAGGTGCAGTCATTGGTATATAGAGAAAAGAATAATAAAATGGAGAGAACACATGGCCCTAGGCTGGGGGGGGGCATCTATGCTAATCGTTTGGGTATTTTATGTGATTTCCCCAACCTTCCACCTATTGCTTTTTAACTGTCAGAAAGCTTATAGTCTACCTAGAAGTATGGACAGGCACAATTAGTTGAATCAGTTTAGAATGAAGAATTACTGGAATAATGGTAATTATTGGAATAATGGGAATCTGCAAAAAGGACCCATGCATAAGTCCCTGGGGATTGTCCAAGGGTTGGGTATTTGAAGTTTATATACAAAATATATTTAGGATCCTAACATAATATAATGCAATTCAGTGAATTCCTTTAGGAAACCGGTGTCAAAGCACTCACATAAGAACTTTTTAATTAAATAAAAGTTTTATTGAACATTTCACTCTGGAACTATAGAGTATCTGTTTTTAAATTTTAAGATCGCATTTATACAACTTGATATTTTGCTTAGTGTGAAAAAGCTACCCTGTTTCCCCAAAAATAAGACATCCTCTAATAATAAGCCCAATCGGGCTTCTGAGCGCATGCGCTAAAATAAGCCCCTCCCCCTGAAAATAAGCCTTCCCTGAAAATATTTAAACGCATGCGCAGCTGGTCCCCACTATTTCCTCTGGTTTCCTCCACACGCCCCAAAATAATAAGACCTCTCTGAAAATAAGGCCAGCACTTACTTCGGGATTCAAAAAAATATAAGACAGGGCCTTATTTTCGGGGAAACACAGTACTTTGAATATATGGAGCATAATTCTCCTCTTTAACAAATATATTAGACATACACGTTGAAATCTTGCCATTTAGTCCCCTAAGTATAGACTAGAGAGAAATCTGTATATTTCAAAAACATGAATCTGTGTATTCACTGCTCCTGAAAACTGTTGCAGATGTAATAATGCCAATTTACTACAACCAAAATATGCACATGGGTCAATGAGTTTCTTTTTATTTTATAATAATATAACCTTGATCAAGGTCATAGTGTAGGAAACGCTGCAAAAAAAGTCTAGTTCCAAATATTTGGCATTCTGTCACCATGAGAAAAATGTTTTCCAAGAAAAGATTTAGAGGAACAGATTGAGTAATTTGTTCTTCAAATTGTCTTCCAGAATTAATTTAGATTTGGGTCCACAGTTAATGGACAAGGAATTCTTGCGCTCCGAACAGGAGCATAATCTATTTAACTGGAATTCTAAAATCAATGGTATACTGTATTAAAAGTATTAACTCTTTCTGGAAATTAATACTAGGTCTGTGGCATATCAAATTTCTATAACAAATCCATCTTATTACAACATAAAAAGAACAGACCAAAAATAGTCAGTGTATGAAGATGGAAAATCGACATACCTTAATTAAAAGGTAATACGATTACATGTTTCAAATAATTCCCCTGGAGTAATTTTAGATTTTTTCCCCACTCTACAAAGGGCAGACCTAGATTTACTGTATTGTAGAATATTGCTAGCAAGATTTGTCAGCAACAGTAAATTTACCAATCAATACCTACCTGAAACAAGTGTTTTCCTCATATCCTGTACAACAAAACAGAGACTTCAGGAGTATGGTATATGAAGAAAGCTTTGAGTTGGTAAATTGTAATGTAGGTTAAAGCTTTCATCAATATCTGGGAATTGATTAAAATATTAAGGCTGTCGTGTTTCTGAATGTTTAAGTTTAAATGGGATTTCCTTTACATAGGAAAGGCAAGAGTTTTTTAAACATCACAGAAGTTGTACATCACAAAGTGGATCACTATTCAAAGGGATAGGTGTGCTTTGTGCTATTGACTTAGCACTTCATATGTGTTTGCATTAATACATTATGTTTATCTGGTATAAAAATAGGCACTCTTGATTACTTTATAATTATGCTGCTGCTTTCCTACTGTGCAGGATTTAGAAATCATTACAAAAAAACCCCCACCCAGCTGGTAACAGATGGCAGTAAGATACAGTCATGTTTAAAAAGGCTTAGACAAATAACAGCAATATCCAAATAAAAATAGATTTTTAAAAAAAGATTGCAGTTAATACTAAGTGAAGTCATGGTTTAAACCATATGAATCCAGAAATGTTTCACTTAAAAGCTAATGGTTTACAGGCACTTCTTTTTTGGTAGATTATTTAATAGCAAGATTCTGTGCATACTTACTCAAGTCAGGACTGTTTAGGTCACTAGTGATTATTTGTAGATAAGCAAATGAATGAGTGCAATCTAAACTATTTGAGAATCATCCAATCATCCATTTCAATATTTGGCCTTTTAAATTAAAATGCTACAAAAGCTGGCAACCAATGTCCCATAATCTGTATTTTATAAATGTAAAAACAAACCATTTCTTCAAACAATGTTTGAAGAAATGACTGCCCTGGTGGTTAGAATAGATAATAATTCGATATTTATGGAAGATTGTTACATAGTCTCTTGTATGACCTTAGCTTAACTCTTTGGATTTCTCTACCAAGAATCATCAATATCTAATTGTATTTTCCAATAGAAGCCAACAAAAACAGTTGGCACTTCTCCCACTGAAACTATCCAATGTCAAAATCAAAGAAAGCTGCACTGATAACATTGCAACAGACAAATCTGCCTTTTGGTTGCGGGACAGATGAGCAAAAACTAAAGAGGTTTCCTTTACAACTGAACATTTTATGGCATTGTCACACTGAGCTAACCATTAATGAGCACTTGAAAAGCAAAGCTCTGCATTGCTTGGGCATTCTTATAGAGAAAGAAATTAGCAAAAGTAGATGGCCCTGCAGCATTCTCCACAATTCCAGGTAATTGACTGGTGCACCATCTGTTCAATGAGCATGGCTGTTCACCTCCATCACAGATGCTGCAACCATTAGTTGTGGAAAGGACCCAACCAAAAAACATGGTGGTGGTGGTTGTTTTTGATTTTCTGTTGACCTTGCAAATAAATTGACTAGAGGATGAGCATTTCCCACACATAAATACTCTTGATTGAGGCTTGCTTTCCCTTACAGCAAAACCAGTCTGTGATAGCCCCCGTCCCTCTTGCAAGGGAGAATTATTACCTTTGTAAAGGATCAACTACTGATATGTTCATTTTCTTAAAAGCACTTTTATCAGGTTTCATCACTACAACAAATATAAGTCTGAGAACATCTTCCTCCTAACAGAAAATGTGGACTTGCGCAAATAATATCATTAGAAACTGATAATTATGCAACTAGTTATTTTGCTTGCAACATATTAGATAATCAGTTGATAATATACATAATTCTTTGGAGTCTATGTAAAGTGAGGTGACATGGTTGCCACTTGCTTTTTGCAAAAAAAAAAAAAAAAGAAATACAGAAAAAATCCCAGTGTTTTATTGCACTACAGATTCCTGTTGCTAAAATCTGTATCAGTTGATGTCAGCCTTGAGTTCTTTAGTGTAGAGTCAACTTGTGGGGTATTGCTATTAATATTCTTATTGCGCCTGCTTTTGCACCTTTCAGCTCCCCATCTTCTTGCAGGCCAGCAGCACACCGTCAAGAAGGTCCTAGTCTATTTTAGAACTAAATGGTAGCCTTCTGCATTCTGTACTGTAGTGACAGATAAGACAAGACAAAACCAAATCACTTTTTAAATAGTTGTTCCTAAAAACGGAGTTTTCATCCTTTCTTAGGATGGGCCAGTATTGGGTAATCATAGGGTCTGCTTTTAGAGCTTATTAGGAAAAAAATCAAGGTGATTGCTCCAAAGGGAGATGTAGTCTTCAAAAACCTCTAAAGGAATATTTATGCTGCAATATTAAATGAATTTGCTGTGCCTTGTATACCTAATTGGATAGGTATAATATTTTTTCAGGACTCCGCTGCCTACCATTTTATGTGCAATATTCTCCTGCTGACTTAAACAAATGCCTTGTTTTATGTAGTGACATATTGCAAAGCAGTAAGGACAGAAAATTCAGCAGTAAATCCTAGGAATCCCAACCAGGTTTGAGTCTGGTCACTGTTCGAATCCTGTTCCATAATATGGGGTTAGTTAGGGGTGGGAGAGGGAAGTGGGGAAAATTACAGAGCCCCAAGAATGTGAAGTGCCAGGTGACACTGATAGACAAAAAAAACACTATCTCCTGGTTTCTGGTTCCTCTGGTTGGATGTATTACAGTGTGTATTGAGGGAAATACAGATAGTCCTCAATGTATGATCACAATTGAGGCAAAAATTTCTGTTGCTAAGTGAGGCTTTTAAGTGAGGTTTGCCCCATTTTATGATCTTTCTTGACACATATATTAAATGAATCACTGCAGTTAGGTTAGTAACATGATTTTTAAGTGAATCTAGCTTCCCCATTGACTTTACTTGTCAGAAGGTTACAAAAGGGGATCACATGACACCCCCCCCCCCGCAGGCCACTGCCACTGTCATAAATATGAGTCAGCTGACAAGTGTCTAAATTTTGATCACATGACCTTAGGGATGCTGCAATGTTCGTAAATGTGAAAAACGATCACAAGTCACTTTTTTCAGTGCTGTTGTAATTTTGAATGATCACTAAATGAACTGTTGTAAGTCGAGGGCCTCCTGTAATAATTTTCACTAATTCCTCCTCCTCGTGTCCACATGAACCTCCTAGAACAGAGTTGAAGGGAGTGGGGTCCGTGAACTGAAGAAGGAACCTCTTCTACACTACCTCAGTCTTCTTGTAAACAAAAAAACAAAACTCCTGGAGTAGAAATCTGAGTTCACTGTGTCATGGACATTTTGACAACAGAGAGTATATCCAAAATTGAATAATGGGTTTTTTGTCTACACACACTCAGGCTTCAATAAATCTTATCAGTCCTGAAGAAGCCAGAACTCTGCTCCTTTCACAGGCAGATCTACCTACCTTTTGTTACAGCTGCTATGAAGCAGGATTCATCTGGAAGATTTCTGACCATCTGTGATAACCAGGAGAGAACAATGCAAGGTTAGTTCTTGGCTAGATTCCTAACTGTCTGCTTTAAAAAAAAAAAAATTATCTGAGTTGCCGGAGAGGGAGAGCTCAGCAACAGGTGGCAATATGGTAAAGTGAGATTGTCAAGACATATAAAAGCCAGTGGCGGTGTCTATATGAGAGTGTGTGTATATGTACAGAGAAAAAGATGGACTTTAAAAGGCTTAGAGTGGGGAGGGGGAGAGACTTAATAGATACGTGATTTAGTTTGTCTGAAACTATTAATATAAGAATCCCCCAAATGGATTGTGTAAAGTGTAACTGCTTCTAAGCTTAAGCAAAGTGTGGTTTTGAACAGCTGAATGACCAGAACTTGGATTTTTTATTTTTGAATTTGGAGTCAAGATACCAAGTTTGTTTTGAAGATCTCCAGCATGGCATCTGTGGCTACTACAGTACTGTGCATATCTATAATTACCTCTCAGAATCTAAGAGGGGTTTACCTTGCCTTTTTGTCTTTTTAATCCTTTGTAATATTTTAATTACAAAAGAATACAGGAGATTGGTTTGTTGCAGAGCAAAACATCTATCTTCAGCCTCATTATTTTGTCCGCAAATACTTTGGGTACACAAACTTAGAGCTATAGGTCTAGAATATTAGAACTCTCTAGACCAACCCCCTGCTCAAGGCAGAAATCCTTATATCATTCCAGAAAAAATGATTCTTCAATCTTTTTTTGAAACCTCCAGTGATGGAGCACTCACAACTCTGATTAATCATTCTCATTGACAGGAAATTCCTCATTTCCAGATTAGATCTTCCTCTGATAAGCTTCCACCCATTGCATCCTGCCTCAGGTGCTATTGAGCATAAATTAACCCCCTCTTTCCTCCGACAAGTTTTTTTTTTTTTTTAATTTGATTTATATGCCGCCCTTCTCCAGAGACTCAGGGTGGCTTACAATGCGTTAAGCAATAGCCTTCATACTTTTGTATATTTATACAAAGTCAGCTTATTGCCCCCACAAACTGGGTCCTCATTTTACCTACCTTAGAAAGGATGGGAGGCTGAGTCAACCTTGAGCCTGGTGAGATTCGAACTTACAGTAATTGCAGACAGCTGGTGTTAATCACAATGCTTTTAGTCTGCTAAGCCACCAGGCCCTCAACTGACTCAATATTTTCCAAGTATTGGAAAACTGCTAGCAGGTCTCCTATAAGCCTTTTGTTTGTTAGGCTAATATATCTAGTTTCCTTAGGCATTCATCATATGATTTAGCTTCCAGACTCTTTATCATCTTTGTTGGTCTTCACTGCACTCTTTCTAGGGCCTCAGCAGCTTTGTTGTATCAAGATGACTAGAACTGAATGCCGTGTTTCAAGTGTGGCCTCACTACTACTACCATTTCCTGGGTTCTTGATGCTATTCCTCTCTTGATGCATTGGCTTTTTGGCAGCTGCAGCACACTCCTGACTTATACTTAAGTGTTGGTCCGCCAGAACACTTAAATCCCTCTCACAGTTAACTACTGTTGAGCCAGGTACTGCCTATCCTGTACCTGTGCACCTCGTTTTTCCTGCCTAAGCACAGGGCCTTATTTTTCTTACCACTGAACTGCATCTTGTTGGGTAGAGCCCAATGCTCAAATCTGTCAAGATCCTTCAGAATCTTGAACCTATTTTCCAAAGTAAGTAACTTGTCTCATAAATTTTCTTTACAAATAAAAATAATGATTAATTGCAATCTAAGTGCTTTCTTTGGGAATGCATTATTTCCATAGGAAAAAAAAGTACTGGGAGTAAAGTGGAAAGAGATAATATTCTTCGTCAATGGCAGCGTCCCCAGTTATAATGAAGGAGCATTCTGCCTCTCTGTCTGCTCTCAGAGAGCCACCTCCATGGCTGTCAGTTTAGAGAGAATCTGCATGTTCTCATGTGTGTTCATCAACCTCCCAAAACTGGAATTTTCCAGAGTTCAGGAAAAAGAAGGGGAGTAGCAAAGTGATTGTTTCACTAGGTCATAATATGGCTTCCTTGTTACATGAAGTTGGTTCTTGTGACTTAGCATGTTGTGTGACCCTTGCCAATTGTAATTAAGTAAAAAATAATCCACGGTGGTTGCAAATGAGAAAATCTCCAACTCAAATCTCATTTCTGTCCTTAGACAAGGAAATACTTTTTTTAAGCTCCAGAAATCTGCAGCAAAGCAGGGGTATTTTACTGGTTTGCCTTTCTGGATGGTTGGCATTCTTTTATCTGAAAATAATCTATAAAAATCACTGATAGCTGTTTTGGTTCATAAGATTTTTTTCCCCAAAAAATAAAATTGAGGTGTTTTTTTTTTAATGACTTATTACTCATCCACATGGATTTTGAGCTACCCAGAACTCTTCCATCCACATCTGTATGCAAAATGATAAAGCTTCAGTCTACAGTTTTTAACTATTTTAAGATGCAGACCAGATGGAATTAATGCAAGGAGATATATGTGTTGTGTTTGCAGTTCCCAGAATTTTAAGACATCAAGAAGCCAAATTGGAGAAGGCAGGATTAGACCAATAACCCCTTTCAGAAATTCATTATCTACTGAGAAGACAATCTGAAAAGGCTGTTTGACTGAGAAAGATTACAATTCACTTCTTTCCACCACCACCCCACCCCCCTTCTGTCCCCAGCTAATTCACTTACTTAAGTCATTTGGAGCAAATTTTATTTGGATTGTGTGTGTTATTTCTATGGGAATATCGAACCTATTTTTTCCAGATATGTTGACTATAGATTATTGGGGGTGGGGGGTATTCCAGGAATACACCCCCATAGTATCTAGGAAAACTGTAGTTTGATCTGGATTTCCCAATCAAGCAATGCCTGTTTATAATATGTCCTTTCAAGCATATATAATCATAATCCATTCTCAACTGCTGAAATGACTAGGGAAGAAAAAGAGTCCAATTCATTGGTATCAGCCAAAGCTAAATGCTGGCAGAGCTCACAAAAATGCTAGTGTATGGACTGAACAATTAAAGTCAGAAGAAGGCAAGAGATGGCTGGTTTTATCCAAATCATCTTTGGAGTTATTTGGGATTAAACTATTCTCCCCAGTTTACCATGTTTATTTAAATAGCAAAACACATCTAATTAAATCCTGCTTAGTTTTTCAAGAAAAAAAGATGGAGATACAGATATCTGAAAACAGTTTATCCACTTCTAAACTTACCACTAAACAACATTAAAGACACTTTCCTGATAGAGTTCCTTGTTTGGTGAGGTGGGTAGCTACATAAATTGAACATGCAAACAAGGAAATAGATATATAGTGATTGGTCACAAGGAAAGAGACAGGGATGCTATGGAACTGCCAGGACTTTCCCAGTACAAAGATCAGCAGAAGTGAATGAGGGCATTAGGACCTTTGGTGCCATTGTTGCAGCCAGAATCCTGTAGCATTAGGCAAAGATTCTCCTCCTTGAAGTGCATGGTCAGAATGCTTCAAGAATAATAATTGTTATCTTCCAATCTCTTATTTTTTAATCTTTGGAGACAAGGATTCAATCTTCTGTGTTTCTGAGAGGCTGAGTAAGGCTCATTCTTAAAATAAGTCTGCACCATACCTGATCATTGACGAGGATGTGAATTCCTGTAGGCCCCTGTTTGGAAACTTGCTGGACCTGATTGGCTGGGACGCTAAGCAGTTCTGCCAATTTATTAGTCAGCTCTGTGGCAGTCAGTTCCTCCAGATATAACTCCTGGTATATAACTTTTGGGGAAGGAACATCAATGCATAAACTATTGTACAGTTTTAAGAAATACAATTTTAAAAAAAAAGATTTACAACAATGTATGCAACAAAATTATGCTATCGGTGCTTAAAAGTTGTGAAGGAGAGACTGTAATCTCCCAAATGAGCAGTGTAGCTCCCTTGGGCATCATTGTGCCTGCAAATTCCTCCCCTGCTGCTTGCCACACTCCACCTCATCTTAATTTATTTTTTAGACTCTTTCATCAAAACCAGTAAAAAGAAACCCAACCACCTGGCATGCTGCAATGTAAAACACCAGCCTCCATCATCTTCATTACTTCCGAGAATGCCTCAAAGCCCTAAATGACTCCCTTGGGCATTCTTAGAAAATGGTTTGGTGCTTTGTTTAGAACTATGCCCATCTGGCAAGAAAAGCTGAGACCTTAGAAGGGACAATGAGTATTGACTTTGATCAGTTTTGCTCTGGGTAAATTAGTGTTTTTGCAGCCAGCTACACCTGCCTGGGAACCATTTTGTGACTAGGAAAAATGTCTTCCAAGACAGCTGTAACTTGCTAGAAAATTCCAGGGCCTCTTGTTTCAGTGCTTTGCCAGATCTGTTCGTTGTTTTGCTTAAATTTACATAGGTCCCACTTTTCAAAGCTGCTGAACATTAAGCAGAACATAAATATAGTATGCAATATTGCATCTTTTAAAAAATGCAAAGCAGCACCATAACTGAATGTGCGGCTAAAAGGCCTCCTCAATCAATGGAGATGTGTTTGGATTGCTTGCTGGGAGGTGCACACAGGTGCCTCAAAATCATATTTATGAAATAATTCTGACTTACCAGATGCTGGGTTTGGAGGAGCATTGTTCCCACTTGCTTCCAGTTCCTTGGACACATAAAGAATGAGACGAGGGCGCACAGTCCTAGAAAAAGAGAAGGAAGTCAGGCCACTTTCTCTGATGTACCAAGATCTGGCAGGATGAAATGATTTCAAGGATTAGCAGCAAAGTTCTCACCAGCTCTGAATTCACTTGATGGTGGCAGTGGTGATAGGGGCTTTGTGAGAGGAGTGGCCTAAATAAAATCAAGAAAACAACCACAACTCTGCAACTGAAGCCCTGTTCCTTTTTATGATTCAGGTAAAACAGGAAGAGTCGCAGTCGAAGAACACAGTAAGTGTTCTTTGTGACTGAGGTCCTGCCCCTTTCACTTAAATCATGAAAGGGGTGGGGCTTCAGTTGCATAGTTGTGGCTGTTTTCTTGACTTTTTTAGGTCACTCCTCCCACATACCCCATCCCCCACATCTCAGTGACATGGTTGCTGAATGGTATGGGTGAGCTAGACTTTCAAGTCCACAAGTATCACATATTTTCACAGCAAGCTTGGGATGCCCAGATACAAAAAAGGTAGTTTAATAGCCTGATAGAAAAAGGAATTTTGAACCTCTTCTCAGTTCTCAGATTAAGGAGCCCATCCTCTTTTATATTTAACTATTCTCTTTTTTTTAAATCCCCCCCCATTTATTTTAAAGTATTACTTTGGGGAGAAGGCGGAATTGAATGAATTTAATTCAAATTCAATTGTTATACTCCGATAAGCAGTCAATACTGCTAACAGGATGTAAAACAGTATGGGAAGGGATATTTAAAATAACAATAATTAATAAAGACAGAATAGAAAGATATCTTGGAGGTAATCTATAGACCAATTGTTCAGTGTAGGATTCCCAGACTAGCACATGTCTCCTAGAGGCCATCCAGCCATTGAAGACCTTTAATGCATAAAAACTCATCAAAATATATATTGTATTATTCAGATTATAAAACGCTCCAGACTATAAGACACACCTGGCTTTTGAGGGGGAAAACGAAAAAATCTGCCTCTGCTTCCCAGCAATTTGCCTCCTTGCAGCAAACAGACTGGTCAGCTTCAGCACAGCCTGATTTAGCAGGAGCAGCTGATTGGCGGTTGGATGTGCTTCCCGGAATACCGTTTATCAGATGTTCCAGGCTGCAGGAATCACTGCTGCTCATTGCCACTGCTGTTGCTGCCTCTGTGTGCCCCATTTTCAGCCTCCGCGCACCCCATTTTTGGCCTGTTCCAGGTGGCAGGGATTGCCACTGCAGCTGTCTGGAACGGGCCAAAAATGGGGCGCGCAGAGGCTGAAAATGGGGCGCATGGAGGCGGCGATAGGCGGCAGTGGTGATGGGCAGCGATGGGCAGTGACAATCCCCATAGCCTGGAACAGCTGATAGGCGGTATTCCAGGAGGCAGATCCAACCGCTAATCAGCTGCTCATGCTAAATTGGGCTGTGCTGAAGCTGACCTGGCTGTTTGCTGCAAGGAGGCAAATTGCTGGGGGCAGAAGCCGAAGGGTGAGGGTGGGCGGGGCTTTCGCAACATTTGCTCTATAAGATACACAGACATTTCCACCAACCTTTGGGGGTGGGGGGAGTGCATTTTATACACTGAAAAATACAGTAGCCTGTCCCACTAGCTGGCAGCTCAAATAGTCAGGAAACTCCTTGTTTGTCTAATCTGAAGTCCTAATAGTTAATCCCCTGGCTCTGATTCTCATGTAATGATTGAATCACAGTACTTATTTTGAAAGTGGGTTAGATTTGATTTTACATTTCAGCATATATTTACATTAAAAGTTCAAGCTTGACCTTTGGTGACTTCATGGACTGTTCTGTGAACTTTCTTTGGTCTCCTGGGACAATAGTTTCATTCTTTCCCAATGTTTATTTTTCTTTTTAATAATGTTTTAATAGAGGTTTTTTTTTAAAAAAAATCCGTAAAGTCTCTACCTTTGTTCATAACTCCATACCTCGCTTTTAGAGCATTTGAAAGTCTAATCCCATCTGCCATTCCACAGATCTGTACAAGATCATTGCGGGACAGTTTGAGCAAATCAGTTCCTGGGGTGAAGAAAAGAATTTAGAATTTGTTGATAATAGATCATTTTCAGAGAGCAAAGCAAAATTGGATAAATGTTTATTTTACTATATTTATTCTGACCTATCACAATCCATAATGTAGTTAGAATTCTTTTTTTCATATTCGCAATATCAGAGATTGGCAGAGCCCGTTTTTCATTATTTTTTATTGCATAATCAATATATATGGTGTCTTGCAGAGTAATTTAAGAAAAAAGAAGAAAAAACATCTATCATAATTTAAATTCAGCTTTGGTATTTCCTTTATCCTCTACAATCTACAATTCAGAATAGTAGGATTATTCTAATTTAAGGAATGCTGGAGAAAACTGGGCCGTTCTCCCTCATTTAAGAAATGTGTGTGGGGTTTATTTTAATGGTCTGATTTAGGAGGCCATAAAAGGCACTGGCCTGGGAAAAAATGCAAATTGTAAGGTTATACAGTCTTGGATGAGTTTATTGGCATCTTCACCCTGGAGAAGAAAAGAAGCCTCACCTGTGTAGCTGGCAAAAACTCTGGAATAATTGGAGAACCTGTTTTTGAGTAACCACTGTTGAGTTTCCAAAATGGAGGCACTTGGACTCAGGGTCTGAAAAGAGGCACAAAATTTAACAAGCATCTTTAATTAAGTCCATCAAAACAGGTTAGAAGAAACTCTCTCTCTGATAACAGATTCTTTGGAAGGCTAGAAGCTCGTCTTTAGACTATTGCTTTCTTTTCAGGGCCAGGTTGGATCACAGAAAATTTATTCTGGAACTGAATTAGTCCTTACGAATCCTGTAGCCATATTTCATGATGTTCATATAATGGATTAGAAACCATCTCATTCTAAAAACCTCTGACAAATGCAATAATTTTAAATAAATGCTTTCTACAGAAATATATGTGTCAGAACTCTAATGCATCTTTAATTGTTGACCCCCAAATTAGCCAAGAAGTCATATTCTCTGATTAAAATCTCTCCTTCTTAATCCAGATGACTGTAGTTGATTACTGATTTACAGGGATTAGGAAATTCTTCAACACATGCTGGAAACATGCCTTTTTATTATGTTTCATGTATTAAGAGTAAGTGTTGCTGTCACATGATTTGTAAAAAGTAATTTACTTCAATATCTGCTAGGCAGATAAGTAATTCACATCTTGAGGGATTTGCCAAATGTTTCAATTTTAAAGACCCCTTTCAAATGTGAAACAGTTATTTTGAGTGCAAAAGAACCCATGCTGTTTTTTTCTAGCTTAAAACACCTCCAAAGCAGTAAAAATACTTTCATTTGCAGTCGGCAGCTGTTTCAAACTCAAAATAGGCATTTCCAAATACAGAATAGTTCATATTTGAACTATTTTGCCCACTGCTAATATCTTGCTCCACCATTATGGCTCCAGATTACATGGGTAAATATTCAGAATTTTCCTTATTGCAACAATTGGAAAAGTCAGAAATAATGAAAAGGAATTGTCAAAATCTGTACTTTAGCAGCTTCATCTACAATAAATTCAGTGCTGTAGGCAAAATAGCGGGCAGCCACCACCAACCTGCAGATGCATTGGATTACAGCTTCTGACATTCCCAGGTGACCCTTACACATGTGGAGGCTATTGTAATAGGAAAAGCTGGCTAAGACAGTAGTGTATCATGTAAAGCAGAAATAGTGAACCTGTGGTCCGCCTGGTGTGCTGATGTGAAATTCTGGGTATAACTTACAATTAGGCTAGGCTTCTTAATGATGCTGGGAGTTGTGGTTCATGGAGCAATAAACCATCTGGAGCACCAAGTGTTACCCACTCATAATTTAAGATGATATACTGTAGATAGTGGATGAGATATCCTATGAGTTTGTTCCTCTCCCCAATAAATGAATGTTAGAAACAGCAGCACCATTTAGCTTAACATTTTAATTAAAATGTTGATGAGCCAAACATCAGTTAGCTGCCAACTTTGAGTATATTGGATGTTCTTTCATAACTAAATTTCATCATTTTTTTAAAAATTAACTGGAAATAAAGCTTTACCACTAGGGGGCACCCTTACATTGTATTTATTTGACTGCAAAGTAAGCAGACTGAATAAAACTTGTCAATCCCAGCTGACATCACCGATTGGTAGATTGTGTGGCTTCATCAGTCTAGTGTCTTTGTAAAGACAGCCATTTCTGCTGATCATTAGTCTACTGCTGGTAGCTTACTATATTCTGCGCTAAAGCAAGGAAGGCAGGATAGTCACCTCATAGTTAACTAGTAGAATGGTTCACAAAATGCACTTTCCCTGAAAGTGTTTGATTTAGTTTAATAGAAAACAGGATCTGGACAAATTTCATTTATTTTATTTTAATAATATGGCCTTCATAAATAGTTCCACCCGCCTACAGATGCTATTTGTTACCTCTGCCATGGTCTCTGATGAGCTGTCTAAGGCATAACTGGGTGAGGAGCAGACCCTGCCAAAAAGAGCAACAAAGGCAGTTTATCTTACAGATATCCCAAGACCAAAATAGAGAAGGAATGCTGTTATAGATGGCTCAGCCTAGTGTACCTTTCAGGGGTCTGAAGCTTGAAGGGATGTGGAGAGACAAGGCCAGGAGTTGGTGGAGGACTATTGAGATTGCTGGAAACTTCAGGCCAAGGGGCACACTAAGGAAAAGCATAGGAAGAAATAGATGGGAGGAGATAAATGTTATATCCTGGAATTTGCACTCTGCAATTGCTGAATTAAAAGTAAGTTTATCATTCTGAAATGAAGCAGGATATTGTGGGAGAGATCATGGCTGGTTGGCCTGTTGGAATTGACTATCCCACGTGACATTTTACTGCATGTTTCATTAGCAAAGGTGCATCAGTTTGCATCATTTGCTTCATATAATCCCAGCTATTATAGTCTGCATAGTGCGTAAACGCATGGTTTAGTGAAATTTGTGGATTCAGCCATTGTAGCTTATTCAAATCATTGTTAAAAATAAACCAAGGTGTGTGTGTGTGTGTGTGTGTGTGTGTGTGTGTGTATGTATCATCATTTTAGCCATTGTGTATCCATTGCAGGATGAAGGCCTCTTCCGCATGTTTCCAACCTATACTGTCCTAAGTTTTCTTTTGCCAATTGGGCCCATAATACTTGCTGATGTCGTTGATCCATCTTGTTTTAGGAAATAAACATACATAATGTTGTAAAACGTTATTTTTGTCTTTTATTTCAACCCCATAAATTCTAGAGGTTATCCTTCTTGGACTGACTTCTTATGTTGCTAATGAAAGTAAACTTTTAAATCACACGGAGCTTTTTAGCAAGGCAGCAAAAAAGGATGTGAAAAGAAGCACAAGTACCTCTGTCAATACTGTGCTGTCATATGAAGGCTGGTACTTCTCCCGCTCCTGGAGGGACTGTTTTTCAATCTTCTCCCTATCTGTTTTCTGTTTCCGGTCTGCTCCTTTGGGCTGGAGGAAAAAACAGCTTCACTTAAAATATAGCAGGTATTCAGCAATATTTGATTCATGTCAAGTAATCATGCATCTCATGAAACTTCTCTGCATATAGTAATGTATATTGGATAACTGGGCAGTGGAACCTATGGCCAACCTCTGCTGATTATTTTGTCTTCCAGACAATCTGAATATTCTTTCTGCTACTTAGATCCTTAATGTTCACCACATGAACAATATTGCTCAAGACTGTTCCCACCCAACAAAACTGCATATGAATCAGCCTTTAACTCAGCTCTCATTCCATTTCCAAACAGAGAAGCCTTGCTTGGCAGCAGTGCTGGCTGAAGAATACGTGGTCCCCTTAGTCCAATGTGAAGATTTCCATTTTTAGAGTCATTTGGAAGGAGGAATGACATTGGCATCCCCTAAGCTTTGACACCCTCCACCTTAACTTGGCAATGATTCTTTTACTCCGTCCTGCTTTCGTTATACTGTACCCAGGGCAGGGAATAGGAATTGTAGTATGCTTGTAGTAGGAATCTTTCCTTTCAACAAGTGTGTTTGCCACTACTGAGTCAGGCAATGTTACCTTGAAGACTTTGATGAGACAGCTGGCGGAGTGCAAGTGTTCCATGTGCTCACCCTTCTCATTGGGCTTGAAAGTGTCAACTTGGATGCGAAAGGGAACCCCTTTTTCCCCACCATTCTTACGAAGTGTGAACTCAGTACTAATGCAGTGGACCTGTTTCAAAGAAAGAAAGAAAGGACACAGACATGCCTCTCTCAGTTGGGAGAAATGCTGCTGGATCAGACCACAAGCATATCTAGCCAGCAGATGGTCTCCTTCCAACTGAAGGACCTGGGTACCATGCTTTCCTTCACACACCGTTGGTTTCCCATAATTAGTGTGGAGGGGCTATTAACTTTCTGGAAGTAATATACAATCACCATAACTAATCAATTTTCTGCAGCCTTGAAATTCATAACTACTCTCTCATCTTGTGAAATTTCCTTTGATCAGCTAGAATGAGAGTACCGATGCTTCGTTGTAGCTGGTATTGTTGACCTTGACTGGTTCTACACAGTTTTGGGGCATAACATTTTTTTAATGTATCGCCCTGGTTCCTTTTGTGTGGAAAGCAGGTACTTTGGTATTGATCTACAGCCTTTCTTTTCGAAGCCAATTTTGCTTCCCCTGTACATAAAAGCTGGGGTTATACAAATCAATTCTTGCAATTTGAAGGTCATTGTTTAAGAAGCAAGAGCATCATTTGAACACAAGGGAGTGAAATCTGTAGGTAGGGTAGTCACGGGATTGTCAAAATATAATAAAAATTGGGAGGGGGATAATTGGTGGAGGATCCCCTAATATAATCTACTGTGTGCCCATTGACCGTGAAATGTTCACTAACTTGGTGAGGAAGAACAAAGAAGAATTGATGGCTGAAATCCCAAATGAGGAACAATCCATGCTGACCTATTTTGTTGCAGATTCCCCTCCTCCATATCTTTTTCATACATATTCTAAAAATTTCTATCATCGTACCAATATCCATCTAGTATACATGCTCTAGGCACAGGATTTGGGCTTATTTGTTGTGTAAAGTGGTGACCATTTCAAAATTATGCAGGAAGCAAAACTAGGAAGAGTTGAATCACAATATTGGTGGGGTCCTGTGGGAAACCTGCCTGTGAGTTGAGTTTGGCTGTCCCATTCCTCACCCAGCCAGCTTTCATGCTTATGGCGGGACTAGAACTCAGTCCCCTGGTTTCTGGGCCAGCACCTTAACCACTATACCAAATTGGCTCTTTTTTTCCTGATTATTGTGGGGGGAGGGGGCTTTCATTGCTTTTAAGCCTGTTGTAAAATGTGCACTACTGTTTTCATAAAAGCAAATGAAAGGGCAAGGGGACGAAGACGAGCCTACTGACCAGCAGGTTGCTACCCACCTGCACAAAGACTGAAGTGCGCTTAGTTGGGTCCCACAGGAATTCCACAGTATTGAGCAAAGTGGAGGGCATGTGGGGCTCCAGAATGCCCACAGACATGGGGATATCTACAACAGGCCAGAAAAGGAAAAACCTATCAGAACCCTCTCGTGAAAAGGGAGCAGAGGATTTGCAGGGCAGGGCAGGGAGAGGAAGCTGCATGGAATCAGCCACGGAAATCCCAGTTTGATCAAGTAAAGAATGTTTCTCTTACTCTTTCCCTTTCCTTCCCCCCCCCTTTAAATTCGTTCTTCTCAATTTTTTCATGGGGATGGCTGGTTTGAAAATCCTGCAGCCCTCTTTCCAAGAAAGGTACAGGGGAACAGGGCGTCTGCAGGGTCAATAAAGTCAACAGGTCAGCCACAACTTTTCCCTGAAGACTTTGCCTCTTGTTTAAAAAAAAAAAAAAAGCATCAGTGACCATATTTTCTTGAAAAAATAAAGGACAAACCTGAAAAAAGAGTAAATCTGAAAGAGGTTCATTTTTTAAAAAAAGTTATGTTTGTAAATCTTGTTTTACAAATAAAGCTTCAAGAGCAAAACCAAGACAATAAATAAAACTAAAGGACAGATTTCTGCATCTTGACTTTTTTGATTCGCCAAAGAGTACCTAAGCGTTTGTAAGGGCAGCAAGCGTGCGCTTTTAATTAGAATGCTCTTATTGTGCTATGTAACGGATGCAGGGGATGGCAAGTATAGATTAAAATAGAAAGATTCTTCCAGCCAAGCACAGGCCAGGCATGAAAATAGGGAAAGACAAAGCATTAGATGCTGGTGAAACAGCAGATAAGCCAAGAATTGTGTCCCAAAAGCTTGTAATGGTATTGCAGAAATGGCTAAGGCTTCAGGAACAAAAAGGACCATGGAGCAGCCCTGCTAAATGGAGAAGATATACTGCTAAATGAACACCTGCAATTTCTTTACCCATAGTCCTTGACATAAATGATCAATTAATGGCCTTTTGAAGTTATAAAGGCACTGAAAAAAATGACTTATGATGAAATACTTGCACTGATGACTTTTGCAGCGTCCCCCACAGTCCTGTGATCAAAATTTGGGTGCTTGGCATGTATTTATGATGGTTACAGCATCTTGGGGCCGTGTGTGATCACCATTTGCAACCCTGCCAGTCAGTTTCCAATGAGAAAAGAGAAGTTGGATTTGCTTAATAACTGCATGATTCACTTAACAACTGCAGTGATTCACACAACATTGGTTTTTTTAAAAAAAACTTAACATCTACCTCACTTAGCAGTGGAAATTCTGGTACCAATTGTAATCATAAGTCAAGAGCTACCTGTACAGCAGAGCTGAAATGATCGATCTATTTCTCTGTGTTCAGAGCAGGCATTCTCACAATCTCTTTGGAAGATTGTTAGGAAAGCACATTCCAAGTTAGGCTCAGGTAAATAATACCGGTCCTCCCCCTTTGAAAATACACCTTACCAATATCCAGGATGCGGTCACCTGGCCTGTTCCATCTCCATCCCTCTAATTGCTGGTGTTCTGTGTATTGCAGTCTTCGGTCATGGAAGACCACCCTGATTACACTCTGATCAAGAGAGAGAGAGGGAAGGTGGGGAGGGAGAGAGAGAGCCAATATTTTTTTAATCCATTTCTACCACCAGTGATGCACTAAGTCATAGACAACTGGTTGTTCTTTAGGCTGCACATAGAAGAAATACTGTGAGATTTAATGATTGCACCACTCATCAGGCCAAAGAGATGTTGGTGGGAATGCATTTTTGAATTCTGTGACTTTTGCCTCAAGGACACTGAATTGGTTGAACTGTATAAAGTTCTGTTCTAATTAATTTTCAGCCCGCTATCTATTGAATAAGATTTTCTTCAACAAACTCTGCAAGCAAACCATGACGGGAATATCGAGGATCTGAGAGTTTCTGAAGAAAACAATTGTTTCTCTGGGAATTAATGATTAATTATGGGCTCTACTATTCCATAGGCAGTGAATTGGATCTTTTAGAAAAATTGTAATATGTTGTGTGAGTTAGTTCCATAGTTTGTTATAAGATAAAGCTTCATGAGGACTCAATTTTCAAAAATGCCAATCAGTTCTCCTATCCTATGCTTTACCTTCAGCAGCTTCCGTCCCTCAGCAAATTCACCTATTTTGGGATTACACAGCATCCGGATTTCATATGATTGCCCTGGAAAATAATAATACAGTATGTGGAATGTGAGATTGGCCAAATATGCCAAACATTGCCTCAAAATCCAAAATATCATCTTTTAATGTTCCATATTTGTTTTCTAATACATTTTCAAATGAAGAAGAGAAATATGTAAGTAAGTGAATGAAGGAGTACTGAGAATCTAAATTACTGCTCAGTACATCATTGGAAAATTAACAGTAACATACAAAATATATGAATTTATTTTAACAATTCCCAAATTTCTGTTCCTTTAAAAATACAAAAAAGAACTATTAAAAACATTATAGCTGAATATTAGTTTATAATTTTCTCTTCATTTTATTATGACTGATGTACCAAGACATTTTAATGTCTATAAATTTAAAACTGCTGGGTATGTTTTGAAGTAGAGGAGCTCTTAAGGGTTGAGTTCTTAGATCACAAATGTCAAACTAGATCGCGTCACATGACATCATAACATGAAATTTTTTTGCCTTTGTGGAGCTGGAGTGGGCGTGGCCTGTGTGTGTGACGTATCTGGCCCGCAGGACACCAGTTTGACAGACCTGTAAGATGGTGCTAAGCTATGATTTGCTTAATCATACTTGAATAACCCATGATTGTGCTAAGACATAAATTCACCAAGCATGATAGTATAGTTCACATCACATATAAGCAAAAATATTCCAGTTATTTTTCTGTTAATCTTAAATGTAAATTGATCTTAGTCTTAATCCAACCAATAGTAGTCCATAACCACATCTTCACAAATCATCTATAATTTTGCTTTTTAAATTATCTTGCCCCTCCCCCCCCAACCTTATATCAATGTTTCTCAATCTAAGCAATTTTAGGATGTGGACTTCAAAGTCAGCAAGGAATTCTGTGTGTTGAAATTTACACATCTTAAAGTTGCTCAGGTTGAGAAACACTGATTTATATGAACATATTCCCAGCAAAGCAAAAAAATTTAAAAAAAAAAACATTTGTGAAAAAAATATGTTTCAGTAGAATCTAGTTCTATATGTCTAAATTCAGTTGCTAAAACACACCAAGCATTCTTACACCAATGCTATGCTATCTTAGTGTTAAGGCAGCCAAAAAGAAGTAACACATTGTGCAAACCCAACCCATGTGGCCAGTTTTTGGTAAAATATATTGTGCAAGCCTTGACAATGAGTTAATTCAGTAATCAGATTAAGCATATTGTGTAAACACAGTATATAGTTCTAACAAAAGATCTTCTGCTGGATAAAATGCAACCTTTAGCTTTTAATTAGAAAGGCAATCAATCTTGCAATGTGTTAGGATTTAAATGGTTGAAAGCCTTATTGTTACCTGGTTCAGCTGTCAGTTCACGGAAGGTCTGTAATTTACCTTTCTCTTCCAACAGTAGAGGCTTTGGGTGGGGCTTTTGTGTGTGTGTGTGTGTGTGTGTGTGTGTGTGTGTATGAATCCAGTCATTTTTGTGTCACAATGTTATTTAGGCAGTGGAACCTGCCTCTAATGCATTATGTTTACCACTAGGGGGCAGCTTTTGAAGAACTTGGTCACTTTTCCTCTCTCTCCTGCATCACCTCCCTTGATTTATAAAATCTTACCTTGATTGAGATAGGTGAGAGTTTCCTCATGCTGTTTGACAGCTGGAGAGGTAACGGCACACAGAATATACTGGAAAGATGGGCAATGCTGCTCAACTGATGTTGAGATGTTTGGTTCTTCCTGCTTTAGGAATGGCAGCGCCAGTGGCTCTCTGCAATAGCGAAAAAGGTATGGGTAAGAGACATAAGAATGTCCCTTTGGTGTAGTGCTTAATGCATCAGACTACAACCTGTGAAATTGTGAGTTATAATCTTGCCTTAGGCACAAAGCCAGCTGGGGGCCAATCACTCTCTCTCAGCTCTAGGAAGCAAGCAATGGCAAAGAATTCCAAAATTTTGCCAACATAAACTTCAGGAAGTAGGATTTGCCAAGAGGAAGATATGTATGTGTGTCTGAGAGAGAGAGAGAGAGAGAGGGAGGGAGGGAGGGAGATATTTTTTCAAGTAAAGTTCTAAATGATAATACATTCAGAAGCCAAGAAATTACTGCAAAAATGTACTGTACTTGTTCAATTTGTGCAGCCACCCATCTCGCATTTGTGATTCTGGATAGTTCACATAATTAAAATGACTATAAAATAATAAACAGATTACAAAACACAATAAGTAACACCACTGAAACAAAAAAAAAAAGATAATCAGCAGGAAGTTACAGGTCATCTGTCAATCAACACAACCATCTTACAGACTTCACATCACCGCTGGATTCCCAACTATGGCGCACAACACCATGTCTTCAGAACCTTTTAAAAGGCAAGTAGTTTTTGTGAGGTCTTGCTATAAATACCTGTGTAGTAACTAAATGGCAAGATGAAAGGAAGAGCTACAAAGTGCATTTTCTCTAAGATTACTTGTTATTTTTGCATCTTTTTAAAAAAAAATTCCTTTTGCAAATAAGCAGGAGGTAGTAGATCGCTGCAACTTTCTAATCCTTGGTTGGTTCATGTTAGCAATCTTCCATTCTGAATCCTGGACTGGTTGTAAATTCCTCAGCTGAGGACATGCTCAGAGGCACTTAATTTTTAGCACATCACAAATGCCGGCGGGGTCCTTATTTGGTATCCACTTTGGATCAGCAGATCTTACACTTCTAGTAAAACCTCAGAGAAATTTTTCAAGTCTACCTGTAATACTGTGCAATGATAATGTCTTACTAACCATAATTCAAATGCTAAGTCTACATTGGCTTGTTTACTTTAAAATTAATTCTCTTTCACATTCTGTTCTGCATTGACATTGTTAGTGTTAATTTTACAACTGCACATTGTTTGACTGTAAAATATGTAATTAGTCTTTATCACAATATATACCAGTATTAGTCATTAGTAGCAAGCAACAATTTCGAAGGGGAGAAGTAAAAGAAAATTTTCTCTGTCTGTTCCCACAGATAAGTTATACAAGAAGCCCAGTTTTCCATTGCATATAAAAAGGCTGCATCACAAAAAGGCTTTTGTAAATGTCTCTAGCCAAATTACTAATAATAAGGTGGCCTTGGGCCAATGGCTGACTATCTACCTAATGTACTTCACAGAAACATTTCATGCTTTCTGGAATTGGATGTCTGACCTTGAGCTCTCAAAAGTGAAATGTTTTTTTTAATATATACAAATGTTTTGGTGTATGGCCGCAATTCTGGACTTCAACTGGCACCTCTTCCTCTTGAGATGCCATTAAGCTGAGCTAGTGAAAGAAGGTTTGGCTACAGAAGCTGGAGGTCTTATAAAACAGAAGAGTAGTTGTGATGAAGAGTAAGAGTGCCAAAATTAAAAAGACTGCAAGGGCTTGTGCATCATTAATATTTGTGTAGAAGAGGATACTTTAACACTTAGCCCCTATTTTTCCCAACTAAACAGCTCTTAGATGCAATCCAAAACAGATGAGGGGAAAAAGAAAGGGTGGGGGGGGGAGGGATAGCAATTCCAGAGAATAGTGTCTCTCTGCACACTAAAAAGGATGGCAGTGAAGGAATTTGAATGGAATTAAGAGAAGTGTTCCTGTGAGCCTCTGAGCAAGATCCAGATCCTGCTGGATTTTGAATATGATCTTCTCAAGCAGAAGCAGAGCAAAGATGGGCTCCACACTCCCTGCTGTGCCATTCTTAAGCTACCTACCTGTCTCCAGAAGTTAAATGCGAACATGGTCTAAACAAGACCTGTCACTCACATCAGTTTATACCAAAGAAATGGACAAGGTGTGCTATTATTCTTTTTTCTTGATCAGGCTCTGATGCCAATACTTCATTTCCCTCAATTAACCACAGAATGGGAAAAACAGTGATACTCAGGTTTAAGTGGCCTTAAATTTGGAAGAGACCAACTTATGGATGAGAAATCTTTTTATAGCAACTATCCAGGATAGCACCATGCAAATCCTATGTGAGTAGAATGACAGCTCGGCATACAAAGTACTGGGAAGAGAGAGGAGCAAAATATAGCAAAGTCTTCATCCTTTCTGATTGTCTGACTATGAGCTTTCCAGACGTTCTCTTGAAATAAGCAAAATTCTGGAAGCTGAATCACTACAACTATTTCATGAATCCCATCACAAACAAGTAGATTTACTTGCATGCTTTTTCTTCTTCTTTTTCTTCTTCTTGCAGATCTCGGCTGTTGGCATAGCTGGAAAGGGAGGGGTGAAAAAAGAAGCTGCTCACCTTATGAGATTGTTGCCAGGGCAAGGATACATTTCTCCCGGACTTGGCCAGTAATGATCAGGTTGGCTATGCCAAAACAGCATGACTGATGGATTTCCAAAGGTAGACTGGAGAAGTGGCAAGAATTCAGGGAAGAGAAGAAGTCAAGTCCCAGCTCTTCAGCAGTTACTTAGTACTCTGGAGTGTTGTTCCTTTTTTCTTTTTATGCACCTGCCAGCCAGGTAGGTGGGGTCAAAGAAAAGTGTTGTCTGATTGGCTGAGGTGCTATGGAGAACAATTATTCTTCTTTTTTTTTTACACTATTTCCTCTCAGGTAGACCAGACCTGCATTTAGATAATTTTTACCATCAAATGTCTTTTAGTCATTGCCAAGAGCTACAATATATCTTCTTGCCTCTGCAAAGTCATAAGGAAGGTATGGGATTTATGGGGAGGAGGGAAGGAGGAAGGAAAAGCAAAGAAATAACAGGCAGGTATGGATAGTAAGTGCTTCCAGCTAGATAAAGATTCACCAAATGTAGTTCGATAAATCTTAATTTTTGTCTATACATTCTGAAAAATTCCCTGTTAAATGAAATATAAAGGTATGCGAGGTATACAAACCCTCTTGTAAAAAAGATATGCAAAATAGCTTTTTAAAATGCTAGATCAATATTTCTCCACCTTGGCAACTTTAAGATATGGGGACTTCAACAGCCATCTGTCTAAAGTATTCTAGGAGTTGAAGTCCCCATATCTTAAAGTTGAGAAGCATTACACTACATCATCATTATCAAGATGCTACAGCAAACTGAATGACAGAGGAAACATGAACTGGAATTTGTTTGCCTATTAAGTGTTTCAGGTGCAGGTCAGTTAAAAAAGCCAAGGCGACAGTCGAACATAAAAAGCAAGCCATTGTTCAGATGCTCGATAGAATGGTTCTGGAATTCTTGCATCTTCCAGTTCACACATGCATTCCAAAACTTTATGTTTGTTTCAAATGTTTTTACCTTTCAGTTTATCAGGAAAGGCTTTCAGGAAGAGAACTTCCAATGTATCACTATTAAGACAGGCCCCAGCCTGCCCAGCTTGCAAGGGGAAGGGAGCTGCAGAGGGGAGAGTAGTATCTGGCTGTTAGTAGAGCCGTGGAGAAAAGCCAGGGCAACTATCTATCAACCACACTGAAGATGTAATCTAATTTCTCTTCTTCTCTGCAGCCTCATGGCAGAAATACCAGCTCTGGGAATAAAATGTGAAGAGGCTCCATGATCTTTCATTAAAACAAACAAACAAACAAACAAACAAAAACCCAAAGTTCCTTGCCAGAATATGGGTGAATCATTTTGAGGATGTGCAGAATGCTTTTCCTTGAGTATTGAATTATCAATCAGCTCATCTGCACCTGAGTGAATTTCCAGGGCAAATAACTGGTCTTTCTAGCTAACTTGGACTCTTGAACTTCTCGCTATGGGCAGGAGGGGTTGTTAGGTGGAAACTTCAAAAAGTGTACCAAATTACCCTCTCTCCAATGTTGTGTCAACTTTAATGGTACCAACAATGAGGCTAGGCAGTAAAGCAGGGTCATTTGCAAGGGCTGCCGTCTCCCGGGATAGGAAACAATTGTAAGTCTCACTTCAAAGATTTCCCTAAGTAGACCCACTATTTCTTCCCTGTATATAAATGGTGCAACATTTTTTGAGCATTTATTTATAAGGTCATTAAAAAAAAATCTGCCTCCAATGAACAATTACCTGATCAGTTGACAAAACAAAACACAGTGAAAATACAAAACAAAATGACAACATTGTAAAACAGGGGAGAGGATTGTGGCATGAAGAATACATACTGTATATTAAAAGCATTGCCAATTTTAAAAGGAATTTGCGTTGGCAAATGTACTATATTAGAAGCCAGGTGAGCCTTTCTTGGAAGAAAAACCCAATAATAAGTAAGAAAATGTATTTATAGTCATAAGCCACTTGTTTATTATGTATTACACACAATTAAAAAGAAAACAGTGGAGAAAGATGAAAAAAAATTATTCAAACAGTGCAGTAAATTATTCCATTCTGTGAAATACAAAGACACATTATTTATTTTTTTTCTACTGCATCTCAGTGTAAAGCTGTATCAAAATAATCTATTTTCATACTTTCACACACCATTGCAGTACTACTTGGAGGGAAGTAAGCAATGAGGTACCACAAGGTTCTGTCTTAGGCCCAGTACTCTCCAATATCTTCATAAATATTTTAGATGAGGGAATAGAAGGGGAACTTACCAAATTTGCAGATGTTACTAAACTGGCAGGAATAGCAAACACCCTAGATGATAGACTGAAGATCCAGATGGATCTTAACCAGTGGGGAAATGTAAAATTTGTTACTACCGGTTCTATGGGCATGGCTTGGTGGGAGGGGTTAATGTGACGGTGGGCGTGGCCAACTTTTTTTTTTTTTACTTTTAAAAGCATTTTTTCTACAACCTTAAGAGGTTGCAGAAAAAAATGCATTTAAAAGCCTCTGACAATCAGGCAACTCAGCTGGAATCGTCAGAGGCTTTTAAAGGCATTTTTTTTTCTACAACCTCTTCGGCCGAAGAAAAAATGCTTTTAAAAGCCTCTGACGATCCCAGCTGAGCTGCATGATCATCAGAGGCTTTTTTTTTTAACTTTTAAAAGCATTTTTTCGGCTGAAGAGGTTGTAGAAAAAATGCTTTTAAAAGTAAAAAAAAAGCCTCTGATGATCGTGCGGCTCAGCTGGGCATGAGGGAACAGGGATTTTTGCTACTGGTTCTCCAAACCACCACCCGCCATCGCTATCGGATTGGGTGATCCGGTCCGAACCGAGAGCATTTCACCCCTGATCTTAACACACTTGAACACTGGGCCCTAACTAACAAAATGAAATTCAATGTAGAGAAAAGTAAAGTCTTACACTTAGATAAGAAAAACCAAAAATATACATATAGATTGGGAGAAATCAGACTTAATAGCAGTAACTATGAGAGGGATCTTGGACTCTTAGTGGACAACCAATTAAATGTGAGCCAACAGTGTGCAGTGGCAGCCAAAAAAGCCAATGCAATCCTAAATTGCATTAACATTATCCTAAATTGCAAGATCACATGAGGTACTAATACCATTCTATAAAGCCTTAGTAAGACCACACGTAAAATACTGCATCCAGTTTTGGTCACCACACTATAAAAAAGACGTTGAGACACTAGAAAGAATGCAGAGAAGAACAACAAAGATGATTAAGGGACTGGAGCTAAAATATATGAAGAACCGTTACAGAACTGGGCATGGCTGGTCTAGTGAAGAGAAGCACCAGGGGAGACATGATAGCAGTGTTCCAATACTTGAGGGGCTCTCAAAGAGAGGAAGGGATCAACCTATTTTGCAAAGCATCTGAAGGCCAGACAAGGAATAGTGGATGGAAACTAGTCAAGGAAAGACTCAACCCAGAAATAAGGAGAATTTTTCTGACAGATCAACCAATGGAACAGCTTGCCTTCAGAAGTTGTGGAGCTTCATCACTGGAAGCTTTCAAGAAGAGACTGGACTGCCATCTATCAGAAATGGTGTTGAGTCGCCTGCTTGGCCCGGGGGTTGGACTAGATGACCTGCAAGGTTTATTTGTATCTTCATACTCGTGGTGAAAATTTGGGCACTTGACAACTGGCATTTATAAACTGCATAAATTGCAATTTATGATAGCTGCACTGTCCTGGGGTCATGTGACCTCCATTTGTCACCTTCCCAGATGGCATCTGACAAGCAAAGTCAATGCGGGAAGCCAGATACATTTAATGACCACAAGATTCACTTAGTAACTCTGGCAAAAAAAATCATACAATGGGGCAAAACTCACTTAACTGCCTTTCTTAGCAATATAAATTTTGGGCTTAAGTGTGGTCGAAAGTCAAAGACCACCTGTAGAACAAGACTTATTTTAAGAGATGATTCAGGAAATATGTTTTCCAGTATGATTTACTAGGACAGTTAGATAGCAAAGGTATCATTAAATTAATGCATCAAACAAGACAAAATGGGCACACAATCATGATGTAAGTGGCTCAGGAAAACAGGGAAAGTTGAGCTGGGAACTGATTGTCCATTCCTTTGATAAATATAGAAGATAAACATGCATCATCATGCTACCGCTATGACTCAGTGCACTTGTATCAAGTGGCATTTGTCTGATGATGTCACCAGACACATGTCATCACTTTGGCTTCATCATGCTTTGCTGTGGATTCTGCTGTGCTTTAGCCTTTTGCAATTGAATATGCTTCAGCAATTGCTAAAGAGAAAGATCTCCACTGTGGCACACACATAATGGGCCAAGTCCTTTTGCCCTTTACTTATTTAAAAAGAAGCAAAATAGTAGGGGGGAAAAAAAAGGGGGGGGAGAAGCAACAGCAATAACAAAAAGTGTTTTGTATGTATGTTTGTATGAGTATGAGTATATAAAGGCTTTTTACATGTGTATATGTGCATGTAAAGATTTATACAGAAGTTACAGCAGATGAGCATATTTCATTGTAAATCATCCGCATAATCTTTAAACAATTCATTAATAAATATTCATAAATTGCAAATAACAGCAGGTATTTATTGTGGCCTTACAGTTATCTTTCCAATGTTTAACACATTTTTTAGCAATAGGAAGGGCACATAAAATCCATTTCCATTACCTAGCCATTAATACATTTGTAGTTTGTTGAATTAATATATATATAGCGACAACTTACCAGTGTGTAACAATTTCAAGACAACACAAAAGTATTGCATTTTCAGAACATGATGAATTATCCATTTCTTATTCCTTTTCTGTACAAATGCAATTGGATCCAATAAGCCTGATATGCTTCTTTTTTGCTAAATAAGTCATAGCGTAAGATCTATTTAAATTTTTGATAACAGACATTAAGACTGTTGCACATTATTCATACAGAATGGGGATTCCTTGTTCTATTCAGTCTTTAAAATGAGTAGATCAAATTCATTTCACACAATGTCAATTAGATAATTGAATGGGATAAAAAGCCTACTGGGCAAACGACTATTATAAGGATGGGAGGCTGATTTTTCTGGAAGTTAGAATCAAAAATTCATTGCCTCTACTATAAAATATCTCTCTCAACTCTATAATAAGTAGAATCAAATATTGAATCATGGGGCCATAATGTCTAAGATCTCATCCTCAATTGCTTACTGCACTCTTTGACTAGGATCAAGTGTAGTGAGAGACCCAG